TTTTAGCGTTCTTACCTCCTTATGATATGCTTCAAAAAATCATTTAGAAAACATAATTAGGTCATATCATTAGCAATAAAAAATAAACGTAATGAGTGCTAAATTAATTCCAATTTCATTTTAACACAACCACTATATATGAGTGGAAATTTCATACCATTTTGATCTCTGAAATCTATCCATGCCACACGCAAAATAGTGATCTCTCACTTGCTTGTTTGTCCATGACGACCCAATTGGCCTGAGAATCCCATCGACCTATTCCCTCCTTCGCTTTGACTATGAGAAAATAATTGTGATGCCATAGCCTTTACTAATAAAATAACATGGGGCTGGCAAAAAAAAAAAGGTGCTGATTAGATTTAATTTATTCGAGCACAGTTGGGTTATATCTGAACATGTATGATATCATAAGGCCCTTAGTTTACTTTCTTGGCCTTGAAGACATATAAAAATTTGGTTCTTGTTGAACTCGAAAGAAAAATGAGATTCATGGTACCATAACAAAATGCTAATAATCTTTTATTCCTTTCCTTAATTTGAACTTAGAAGGTCCTTTACTTTTTCTTTCATCTGAAGATGAAAGGAAGCATCCTTTATTTAGAAAATGTTTCACATTGCACCATATAGTTTTTCCTTCCACTATACTGTGGCTAGAATTAAGATGAAAATCAAAAGGGACCAAGAGTGAGGTGAGTTAATGCCCATACGACTACTGCGACCAAGAGCACAAATGGACCATACACACCATCTTATTGTATTCATGTAGAATTATGGTTCTAATTAAAATCTATATTGATTTTGCATGAAGGAATTAACAAACCTGGATATCTGGAACATGCCTGGTATTCTGGCATATTCTATTATCTGGTTTAGTCTTTCTTAAACACCTCCAGATATATTTTAGCTTATTCATGGTTGATATGAAACTAGATTAATAATTTTTTTATAAGGAATTTTTATAATTTAGTATATTTTATATAATCTAATCTAAAGATGGTTTGTTTTTAAATCTAGCTTTTTACAAATCACAACATGGCTTTTTAATCTTGAGTGGTTTTTATAGTAAAAGCTACTTAACATGGTACTTTACTGAGTGGTGCATATATATTGTGGTTTTTCTATAGTGGATTTAGTTTTTGATGATGGATAATTGAGTAGTTGTAACTTTCAATAGTGGATTTATCTTTATATGTGACTTCTAATTATGGTTAATTTAGTGATTGTGGCTTTCAATAGTAGATTTTTTTTTGCTTGATGACAAATTGAATGACTAATGAAAGATTATATGAAAAATTAGATGTGGCTTTTTTAATGGTTGTGATTGGATTAAGTCTCAATAAAAAAGTCCAAAATTTAGATATTTAAATAGGTTATTTATTATATTAAAATGAATAAATTATAAAAGCCACAATAATATTAATACTAATATAAATAATATAATAATTTTATTGGTAAAATAATATCTATATTAAGTAAATTAAACATTTTTCTCTATTTATTCTAATCATTACATTATAAAAGTTTTATAAGTGTAATACTGACTATATAGGTGCTGCATTTTTACTTTTCATTTTTATTACTTTTTAAAAATCTCAGCCTGAACTAATATCTTTGAAAAGTATAAATTTCTGTATAAATAGCATGAATTATACTTAGAAAAGTATAAACACTAGCCTAGTGCTACATGCAACTATCTGTTCCTGATACTAGTAATCATCCATAACTGAAAAAATAGAAAGAGTCATTCAATCACTAAAGCTTTTAGCGAGTAAAAATCTTACTCAAAGATTCATTGATAACCATGGTCTTTGGATATCAAATTGATGCTTGTACCACACAAACTTGTGAAGGATCAAACTCGTGATCAAAGAGGCAATTAGAGGAATGACATGGACTAGGGGTGGTAGAACTATAACATATGTAGAGGATTATGAAATTCTAAGAATCTTAAAGCTAGAAAATAAAAGTGAAAAGCAATAGGAAATGAGGGTTAAGCCAGGCTTCACTCACCTCCAAATTTTGCATTTAACAATGTTTATTAAAGTGTTTAGAGTAGAATGTGTTTTATTGCTTATAAGCATCTTGAGTGTGGCTTGGATTGAAGTGTGCTTTTTTGTGGCTATAGGTTCTTTTCTTTGAATAGCAAGTGTGTTTTTTTCAATGTCCCCAAGTACTTTAGTGAGTGTGTTTGTAAATTTTGTATCGACATCTTAGTGTGTTGTGGGGTTACATGTGTTTATTTTGCATCAAGAGAGTGACTGGGCTATATTGGCAAGAGATTAGGGAAGCATCACTAGGCTGACTTGTTATACATTCTATCCCATATGGCTTGAGTAATGAGTTTGTTTATTACAACCTTTTTAGTATTATAGGAATCGTGAGACGATTTTTGTATGTGGGGGAGAGAATTAGCTTTTGAAGTATGAGTTTCTTTGTTAATCTTTAACCCAATACTGTCATGGCATCTTCTTGGAGAGTTGAATGTAAGAAGATGGCCAATGGTAGATCTAGATACCACTAAATACCTTGTTGAGCCCATGACCATGGGCCATGGCTTTTTACTTTATGATCAAAGGAGGCTACTCTTAACCTTTCATCATTAGTCCATTCTAAGCTAGTAGTTCTCTCAAAACTTCTTTCTAGCTTTCAAAATTTTTAATATACTTTTGCAGTTCTAGGGTAGAGGTAATAGCCTTTGGCCAAGTAAATGTTTGAGTAAAGCATGTTCCACAAACAGCCTAACCACATGTAGTGCAAGCAATTTCTCTGCCACAGGAAGATATCATTGTTAACTTTTTCTCCTTAGGTCATGTCATGTCATCTAGAAAATTGTTAGCTTCAAAGGATGCAAAAACAGCTTTTGATAGTATGGATAATCAAAGTCAATTGATTTTTATAACAGTCTTCTTGGCATTTTATTTCTATAATAATCCACTATAGGATGATTTATTGGAAGGTTTAAGCTCAATAAAAGCACTACATTCTATAAAAATTACTGGCCAAAAGAGATCAAAACACCTATTCAGTTATATCGTTCCATTCAATAAAACTCACCTCTATAGTACTCTTCAATTTTGATTAAGGAGATTGTTTTCCGAATTCAATTTTTAATTATTGGTATCTTCTAATTGCCATAATAAAAACAACTAATATTTAAAGTAGATAAGAAAACCAGTTTATCAAACCCTAAACTGAGTGAATCAATGAATATTAGAAAAAGGGATTAAAATTCTAGAATATTTCTTTCTTGTTATGAGACTAGGAAAAAAAAAGAATGCAGAATATTCTTTATAGTACATGATAGATTGTGCTATACCTTATGTAGAATAGAATGCAAACTAGAAATACAGATTTTAGTTAATAATGATTATTAACTTAATATTAATTTCATTAGATATTTGAATAATTTATTGTGATGTGCATCATGCTTTGGATTTTGATTTTAACTATTATTTCATATAAGAAGCTGTTAGACATATTTCTACTACTAAATTAACTTTGTATAGATCAAGTACCATAAGATATGACTTCTTGATTTCAACTACATAGCTATTGCTGGATTGCATGCCTAGCATAATTGTTAAAAAAGGTTGTAATCCTTTGTGATCTGTTAAGTAACTTGTAACAAGCCGTGGTAGCTTTGAAGATGTGATGGGAGTCATTCATAGTGGAGCCTATCACTAATGAAATTGTGGAAACATGGTGTTAATCTTCTTTGTAAGTATGGTTATAACACACCTCTATATACTTAGAATTTTTAAAAGCTGCACTAATAAAAAATAAATAAATTCTTATTTGACTATAGATTTTTAATATACTTGTGTTCAAGTGACATTGTGCAAAGTTTGAAACGTATATAGGTATGAAAGGTATGATAGGTATAGTTTCTAAAGAGTTTCAATTGAATTCTGAAATTCAATCTATTTTGATTCTTATAAGGAACATATCTATATAAATTGGTTTATGTAATGGCACAAACACTAAAAAAGGTACTAAAATTGTGAAATTATTACAGGACAATAAATGTCAAAAACTTTTATCCCATGAAATGTGAAAAAAAACAAATTTTAATTCGTTTGGGGTATTACCTAACTGTTTCTAAATCATTGTGGTTGAAATTTTGCTTCTACAACCAATTTTCACACATGGCCAACCTTATGTTACTCCCTCAAAGTGTTCTTCACCTGAACAACTTTGTATTTAACCCCTTTTCAAGGTAATTTTATATTGCATAATTAACACTTTTATATGATGAATATAATTTACACTGAAATACTTCAATAGACTTGAATTTATAAGTTGCATTGATCCAGCCAAAAAGTACTATCAAGAATCTTATTTCTTTATGTTAAATTTCTATGCCTTCAACAAGGTATGCCATGCCTCTATTGTACAGCTCCCTCACATCACTTTAGAGATTGGAATTAACAATACTATAGCATTACTCTGGTGAAGCTATTACAACCTTGCAAGATAAGCTCAAATTGCAATTTGAGCCAGAGGAATTAATCATAGTGCAGCCTTTCAATAGCAACTTTGGAACAAGTTTAGAGTTTTAAAAAAGCATAGAAATGGTGTTAATGGTTGAAAGTTTTGCCAATTGCCTAGCATTTGCTGAGCAATTACTAGTGTGTAAATAAAATGTGATTGTGTGCATTATAATATTGTGTGCAATTGAAAACAGAAAAATATATCTACACATATGTAAATAATGCACTGTTCTTTTTGTAATACTACTTGTAATACTGTATTTCATGTTTTGTTAACTTAACTATATGTTTTAAATCCTTTAGGATCTTCAGTGTTGAGAAGCTTTCATGTGGCATCGAACAGCATCCATATGGATTATGAAAAAGATGGCACCCTCAGCCAAAGCTAGCACAGGATCAAAGAGAGAGAGCTCCAAACTTTTAGGGACGGATCGAATTAACAAAAGGATGGTACGGACGAGTCTGCCCCCAAAATATCAGTAAAATCTCTCATGCTGTAGGGTTTTTAGCTTATCCATGATATATGGAGCTTGAGGCCCCAAGGCGCTAGCGCGATCGCGGAGTTCCGGCATTTCGATCGATCGATCAGGTAATCCGCTGCATGATCGCGCACCAGATTCTGGAGTGTCGATCCTCATATTTCCTGAATCTCTTGCGCTTCCTGGCTAGGTCGATCGGCGACGCCTCACATTTCGATCGATCCCGATCGATTCCTCCATAATCTCTGGGATTTCCACGGGGTTTGGGAAGATTTGTGAGGAAATGGTACATGTCGTGTCAGTCGAGCTGTCGGTTTCTCTAGGAACTGTGTTGGACGCATTAGGCAAGGCATCTTAGTCGCAGGATCAACGACGCGAGAGTTTTCTTTCCTTTTTCTTTAGCGCTCGCGTGTGGAAGATGCGTGAAATCACTTTAGGCTGGTGCTAACATCTTGGAATTCTTTGGAACAGGGCAGAGATACTCTGGGAGTGATTGGAGTGTAGAAAATTCGCTCCTGGTGGTTGGAAAAGCTTGGACCGCTCTATTTGTATCGCTGCTCCTCCCCGACGGGGTTAGCTACGGCGCCTTCCTGTATGCAGTTCGAGCTCCTCCGGGTGACTATAGTCGAATGGCGAACGTATCCACGGCGAATGCTGGATCTACTTGTTGCCAATCAGCAGCCCCCAGGTTGGAGCAGGGATCATCTCTTCGGGGGGAAGTCGCGTCTGGGATTTCTTCCTGGGCTACTGCCGAGGAAGCCAGCATCGCCTTGAGTGCTCCAGAGAGCTACGCTTCTGTCGAGACTGTCAGCGAGCCTGTGAGCACCATCAAAGGTACCAAGAACACTTCTCGTGAAAGTCATTCTAGATAATTCGAGCTCATAATTGTTGTGTCGTGTTGGTGCAGCTCCTGCGGTGTTGCTTCTCAAGGCACAGCAGAGCCATCCTCTGGATCCGCTCAGTCCGGCTGAAATTAAAGTCGCCACCGAGACTGTGAGAGGTGCTGGAAAATCTGCTGAAGTGAGTGGCTCCTTTGTTTGCTTTGCTAGTAGTAGTGGTAAACTTTCTTCGTTGCAGATTCGTGATGCTATGAGATTTGTTGAGGTGGTTTTGAATGAACCCGAAAAAGATGTGGTCGCGCTGGCTGACGCACACTTTTTTCCTCCTTATCACCCGGCTCAAGGCTTGCGTACAACTGCGAAGGGATTGCCCCTGATTCCTTTCCAGCTTCCTCCTAGACAAGCAAAACTTACAGTCTACAATGTCGCCAGCAACGAGACGAGCATCTGGATTGTGGAGCTGACGGAAGTTCATGCTTTGACTCGAGGTGGACATCGCAAAGGGAAAGTTATCTCGTGTGAAACATTGACCGATGTTCAGCCGGCTTTTGTAAGAGTTTGCATTTTTGGAATTTTTTATCACTGGCTTTCTTTGCTCAGGACGCCGAAGAGTATGCTCTGTGCGAGGCAGCCATCAAGGCGTTCAAGCCGTTTGTGGAAGCCGTGAAAAAGAGAGGTATAGAAAACATGGATCTGGTTATGGTTGACCCATGGTATGTATCTTTATGGAGAGTTTGACAATGTAATAAACGTGATTCATTGTAGGTGTGTCGGGTACTTTGGCGAACGGGATGCTCCAAGCAAAAGGCTTGCAAAGCCACTGATATTTTGCAGAACCGAGAGCGACTGTCCGATAGAGAATGGGTATGCGCGACCGCTCGAAGGCATACACATTCTTGTGGACCTCCAACACATGAGAATTCTCGAGTTTGAGGACCTCGAGTTCGTTCCTTTGCCTCCGCCGGATCCGCTGAGGAACTACACGCCGTCACATATTCGAGGGGGGCTCAGAAGTGACTTGAAGCCGCTAAAGATCATGCAACCAGATGGTCCGAGCTTTCGTGTTGATGGATACCACGTTGAGTGGCAGAAGGTATGTGTGAAACTTATCTTATTCCACTGTGACAGTCTTTGTTTATTGTGCTTTTGGCGTGCAGTGGAACTTTCGCATTGGATTTACTCCGCGAGAAGGACTTGTGATTCATACAGTTGCTTATGATGATGGAAGCAGAGGAAGGAGGTCCGTCGCGTATCGGCTGAGCTTTGTGGAGATGGTTGTTCCGTATGGAGATCCATTAGAGCCGCACTACAGAAAAAATGCATTTGACGCAGGGGAAGACGGGCTTGGAAAGAACGCGCACTCACTCAAGCTGGTAAACTTATTATTTGTTTTCTCAGAATCGTATCAAGTTTGATGTTACGTAAAAGGGCTGCGATTGCTTGGGACATATCAAGTACTTCGATGCGTTTTTGACAAACTACCGGGGCAGCGTGGAGAAGATTGAGAATGCGATCTGTATGCACGAAGAAGACCATGGGATTCTTTGGAAGCATCAGGACTGGCGCTCGGGACTCTCTGAAGTTCGACGATCGAGAAGGCTAACTGTGTCCTTCCTTTGCACAGTTGCAAACTACGAATATGGCTTCTACTGGCATTTCTACCAGGTAAGAACTTGTTAATGGAGTGACGGCTTGTTACTCCGTGCTAGTACAGGATGGAAAAATAGAGGCTGAGGTGAAGCTCACGGGGATTCTCAGCCTGGGAGCACTTCGTGCTGGAGAAATCAGGAAATACGGGACTGTTATAGCTCCTGGTTTATATGCTCCAGTTCACCAGCACTTTTTCGTGGCCAGAATGAATATGGCTGTCGACTGCGTCCCTGGAGAACAAGCAAACCAGGTTCTTCATTCATTATCCATCGCTTGTTGGTTTTTCACCCGCGATTGTTTGCAGGTTGTGGAAGTTAACGTTCTCTCGGAGAAAGCAGGCTCGGACAATCCTCACAATAACTCGTTTTACCCGACCGAGACTGTGCTAAAGTCTGAGTTACAGGCTCAGCGAGACTGCAACCCTCTCTCCGCTCGCCATTGGATTGTAAGTTTTTCCTGCTTCATCTGGAGAACTAAGTGCTAGTTTGATTCTCATTTTCCAAGGTCCGGAACACCCGAAGTTTCAATAGAATGGGCCAGCTGACGGGCTACAAGCTTGTTCCAGGCTCGAATTGCCTACCCCTCGTAGGCGAGAACGCCATGATGCTCCGACGAGCAAAGTTTCTCCACCACAACCTGTGGGTGACCAGCTACAGCCCCGACGAGCGATATCCCGGCGGAGACTTCCCAAACCAGAATCCTCGAGTTGGAGAGGGACTGCCTACATGGACGAAGCGCGATAAAAACCTGGAACAGGCCGATATAGTGCTATGGTCAGTGACTCACTTTGGTTTGATACGATCTTTCATGGTTTTCTCGTGGATTTCCAGGTACACTTTCGGCGTGATCCACGTACCAAGGCTGGAAGACTGGCCTGTGATGCCTGTGGAACACCTTGGATTCTCGCTCGCGGTAAGAAAACCAACTTCTTTGATTAAAACATTCCATTGACAATGTGCTTTGCTTGTTTATTTTTTCATCTAGCCTGTGGGATTCTTCAATTGTAGCCCAGCAATCGATGTTCCCCCAAGTGAGCATCAAGCCAATGCTGCCAAAGAGGATGTTGCTGCTGTTGTGAAACCCGCTGCTACAACAAGTATGGTAATCTCGAAGCTGTGAATGAAAGTAGCTGTGTTCTATAAGCTTTTAAATCAAAAGATTGCGCGAAGGTTAGTTTTACAACAGAGGCAAAAAGAAAATTTCTCACTACTCTTGGAGCTCAACCTTTCTGGAAATCTGAAACTTTCTGACTGCTCTAGGAGCTCAACCTTCCTGGAAATCTGGAAACAAACCACAGAGAAAAGTGTCAGAGAACTTCTAAAACAAAATGAGACAACGCACCTGGATCGCCTTGCCAAGATCTCTCACGGCTCAATCTCGCCAAGATAGATTTGCTTGTCGCTGCTACACGAGCCGATGATCGGCTGCGTCGGGTGGAACACGGACTCGTTCACAGACCCCGTGTGTCCCGGAAGCTTGTACAAGATCCGGCGGCTGGACGTATCCCAGATGTAGACCATACGGTCCCCGCTCCCGGCCGTCACCCTGTTCCCATCCGGCGACCAGCTACACTTGAGCAGATTCTGCTCCACCGTGTGGACGTGCCCAGTGAACGTCTTCACGCACCGGTTCTGTGGAGCGTAGGGACGAAGATCCCAGATCTTCAGCGTCGAGTCCATCGAGTTCGTGAGCAAGAACGATCCATCCGGGCTGAGCTCCATCCCTGTGATCGTATCAAGGTGCCCCTGGAGATGCATCACCACCTCGTTCTTGCGAAGATCCCAGACTTTCACTTCGTTGTCGATCCCTCCGGAGAAAACCTTGTCCGCCGCCTCGGAGAAGCCCACTGCCGTGACTTGGTACTTGTCCGGGAGCGTCTGGATGCAGCCCCGGCGGCGGAGGTCCCAGAGCTTGGCGGTGCCATCGTCGGAGCCGCTGACGAGCAAAGGCGGGCCTTTCTTCACCGGGCAGCACGCATTGACGAAGGAGGAGTGCTCGGCCATCTTCTTGATCTGGCGCCCGGTGTCCGCGTCCCAGGCCCTCACCGTCTTGTCCGGGCTCGCGGACACGATCTGGCCGCCGTCGAGCATCCAATGCACGTCTAGCACGCCGTTGCGGTGGCCCTTGAGCACCATGAAATTCTCGCAGGGGCCGGTGACGCGCCACAGGAAAATATCCTTGTCGAAGCTCCCCGACGCGATCACGTCGCCGCGCGGGTGGAATTTCATGGTGTAGATCGCCCCGGCGTGGCCGCTGAGCAGCATCGTCGGCGATTCGAGGCTGGAAGTGCGGCGGACGCCATTGAAGTGCCGGATCTGCTTGCCGTCGCTGCCGCTTACCTCCTCTAGCTCTGTTCTAGCGCGCTTGGCGGGGACAATGGCGGCATCTTCCTCCGGGCGCTTCATCCCCGAGCTGCCCAAAATCCCTAGCGCGAAGAGCCCTAAAAAATAACGAAAAACCCTAAAATCTTTACCGGTTTGATAATAGCTTTAAAAACGGTTCCACTTTTTCCCATTTCACTGCGAAGTCTATACGTGTTGACACGTGGCGACGCCTGGCCGTCGGATGTGGCATCACATCGTATGTCTGACACGTAGACGCATCCAACGGAGGAGATTTGTTCGTTCGATTGGAGCTTCTTAAGCTCCAATGCCATCGGTTTTCTTGTGTGATCGAGGCGGCAATCCCTTGGGGCGCGCGGCATCGATGCGGGTGGAGCGATGGCGGCATCGCGGTGAGGAATTTGGCGCCGCGATCGAGATCTCATGGTATAGGTTTTGTCGGTTCCCAGCTCTAATCTTCTCACGAGCGGAATTCCATGCGCCGGCGATCCAGACAAGATGGTGAGATCCTTCTCGCTGTACAAGCGGCCGTCGCGAGAGCTTCCTTCGATGGATGGAATCGTTGCAACGAATGCAGGTCAGAGAATTTGCTTTCCCAAGATTTGCGCGCGCTTGAGAGATTTTCGGCATGGTTTTGATCCAGATCAAGAGCAGGCAAACCAGCCAGTTCCATGGCATTTGTCGCTGCCACACATCTGCGTTGCGCTCATCATCTCGGCCTTGTTTGGCTATCACATTGGGTAGGGAAAGCTTTCTTCTTTCTTGACTCTCTTTTCATTTATCTTCTCCGTGGCTTCTCATCCCAGGGTCGTGAACATCCCTCTACCTTACATTTCCAGAGATCTTGGCTTTGGTGAAAACTCTCTCGCTCAAGGTGTGTAGTAGTGGTTCTTTCTTCTTTGTATTGTAGCTAGCTAGAATTTTTTATGTTAGAACGAGTACTTGTGTGCAAAGTTGTCTCAGTTGGAATGCCTGGAGCTCGCAGGCTTTGTTGTGAGTGTATGCTTGATAGGCGCTTTTGCTGGATGTGCAATCAGCGGCACTGTGGCGGATCGTCTTGGGCGCCGGAGAGCTTTTCAACTGTGCGCTATTCCCATGGTGCTCGGTCCAATTCTCAGGTACGTGAAAGAAAGCTCGCGAATTTTTCATATAGCTTTGTGAACTTTACAGTGCAAAGGCATGGAATCTCGCGTCTATGCTTGTTGGTCGGCTGCTCGTTGGATGCGGTCTAGGCATTGGTGCTCCAGTTCTCGCGCTCTATGTCTCGGAGGTAAGCTTGTTTGCCAGGCCGACTATGAGTGACGTTTGCTTGTTTTGCTCAGGTTTCGCCAACTCAAGTCCGAGGGTCTTTTGGAAGCTTTCCTCAGACTGCTACATGTATTGGTCTCCTAGCAGCTCTTATAGTTGGTCTTCCCATAAGCTCCACCCCGGACTGGTAACAAGCTTTAGCCGAATTTGTTTTGTTAAACCAGCTCGCTTCTTTCTTTCAGGTGGAGAGCGTGCTTCTGGATTTCTACGCTTCCTGCTGCCTTACTGCTACTAGGAATGGAGTTCTGTGCCGAAAGCCCGAGGTGGCTGTTTAAGGTGAGTTTACTCGATTCTTCCTTGTCTATTCTCTACCAACTAAACCTCTCCAGAATTCTCGCTGGTATGAAGCAGAGCACGAACTTGAACGGCTGTGGGGAGCAGCTCACGCTAAGGCAGCAATGTCGGATCTTGTCCAGAGCGAACAATCAGATGATTTAGAGATGATTGCTCCGTGGAAAGAGTTGCTGGATAGGCGTTACGTGAGAGGTACATGACTTTTTGTTTGCATGACAATGGTTCACGACCATGTTTGAACTTCAGCTGTTTTGCTGGGAGGAGGATTGTTTGCTTTGCAGCAGTTCTCTGGTATCAACGCCATTTTCTACTTTTCTTCGACCGTGCTGAAGAGTGCTGGAGTCTCTTCGGATCTGGCTGCCACGGTCTCCGTTGGAGCAGTCAATCTAGTTGGTATGGTTTTCACTTTCTAGTAGCAGAAAACTGACTTTGATATTTCATCTTCAGGGTCCTTTGTAGCAGCAGGTTTGATGGACAGGCTAGGACGCCGCAAACTCATGATGTGGAGCTTCACTGGAATGGTCTGGGCTCACTTTTTTCGTGTCAGTATTGACTAAGGCTTTGTTTTTCTTTCTCAGGCTGTCTCGATGGCAATGCAAGCAGCAGTAGCAGCTTTTGGTTTCTTAAAACCAATTCGTGCTACGACGACTTTGATAGGAACTCTCTTGTAAGCGCACTCATCACTTTGGTTTTTACGTGACACTGACTTGTGAATCGAATCCATGTAGCTATGTTTTCTCCTTCGCTTCTGGAGCTGGGCCAGTTCCAGCGCTGCTACTACCGGAGATCATTCCCATTCGCATAAGAGGCAAAGCAATGGCTTTCGCGATGTGCGTTCACTGGGTAAGCACAAAGCGTGTGTGATCTTCTTTAGCTTACGTCTGTCATGGTGTGTGATTCCAGGTAGCGCATTTTCTCGTGGGATTGCTCTTTCTCCCGCTGATCAACGCTACTGGAGCATCGGTTCTCTACACGTTCTTCTCCCTGGTTTGCTTCTTCGCGGCGATTTTCGTGAAGAGAAACGTCGTGGAGACGAAAGGACGCTCGCTAGAGGACCTCGAGATGCTGCTCGTTGCCGGGCACTAAGACGTGATTAGATTAGTGATAAACAAATCTTGTTTAGATGCTAAGCATGGCACCGAACGCTTGCTACTATTTCAAGGAAGCTCCACGAGGCAGTTTTTTGAAAGACACGGGCTAGGGTTTTTTATTTCGCTCGGCGATTGATAGCGCGCGCGAGAGAGCGAGCGAGGCGAGAGATTTCTTCCATGGCGGTGTCGGATGGATCGAAGCTCCGGTCGGCCGAGCTCATGGATCAAATGGCGAAGCATTTGGAGACGGGAGCCGGCGAGGAGCTCAAGAAGAAGATTGGATTGGTCTATCAGATCAATGTGTCGCCCAAGGTGAGTGATCGATTGCGATTTTAGTGCTCCATTGACGATCGTCGCTCTCGATTTCTTGATTCGAGCGTAGAAAATCGGGATCGACGAGGAGAGCTACGTTGTGGATTTGAAAAATGCGAAGGTTAGCAAAGGTATGTATGGATTTAGCCTAGCTCTCTTTTTTATTTTTTTTTCAAGAATAGCTACATGGATTTTATCACAGGTCCGTGTAAGGAGAAACCGGACGCTACGTTTTCGTTTGTGGATGGGGATTTTATGGCTGTGGCTATGGGAAAAATGAATCCTCAAATGGCATTTATCAGGTAAGTTGTCCTCTTAGTTTTTCTTTCGTGTTCGAACTTTTGTTTCTATTTCATCCCGCAGAGGTAAAATGAAGATCAAGGGAAGTATGAGCGCAGCTCAAAAGTTTACTCCAGAGATATTTCCTAAACCTTCGAAGCTATGAACTTTAGAACTTGTTCAATAAAACAGCGCCTTTACTCTCGCTTTCGCGAAGAACTGAGTTTGTGAGGCCTTCTACACGGAACTTTGAAGTAAGTTTTTCTCCCTTTTATCAATCTCTACTTCGCTAACACTTTTCGTTTATACAGATGGAGTTCTTACACGGATTGTGTAAACCTGTACGGTCTGGGCTAGCTGGTGGAATGAAATATTTTCTGGACGCAACGGTAGGGTTCTAGGGTTCTTTGCAGGGTGAGGTTGTTTCTCTTGCGTTTTTTCCTCGTCGTGTGCGGTTTTCTCGAGTGACCATGGAGAAGTTCGATGAAGTCGAGAAATGTATCCCACTGCCTGGGTTGTGCGGGCAATTGCGACTGTGGGAGCTCCCCGAGCACTTCGTCTTCCAGCCACTCGATGGACGTCCATTGCTGTCGATAAACCGGTTGACGGGAACGCCGTCTCTGATTAGTAAGGGACTTTGGAACTTTCCTTGTTCAAGCTGACGTCTTTTTTAATTTTAATTTTCAGATGAGATACCTCTTTCGACAAATCAGACATCTGTGCAAACTATGATAGTCTATGGTGTTGCTGGAGCTATCAAACTTTTGGCAGGTTTAAATTTTTTTTCTTCTTCTCGTGCGTGCCATGACAACGATTGCAGGGCTCTATATTCTTGTTATAACTGGAAGAGAGTGCGTTGGACAATATCGAGGCCATCCAGTTTTTAGAGCATCGTCCTTACGATTCCTACACTGTGCCGTCCGTGACGATCTCAGTTTCCAGGAAGTAAGTTTTACCTCCTTGTTTTGAAGACCATAGGAAACTTATAATATTCAGGAGTAGTGAGCCCTGTTAAAAGGTTTCTCGATTTGCTAGCAGAAGAAGGATGAGTATCAGTATTTGCGTCTTCTAAAAATTGCCGAGACCACGCCGGGCCTCTACTTCTCTTATGAAGTCGATCTAACACGGAAGTAAGCTATTTTTCTTTGACGTAGAGAACATAACGTAGTACACAACGCTACGCAGTATTCAGATATCTCATGATCCATCAAAAGTGCAAAGAAGCCAGTCGCTCTGGCAGCAGGTGCTTATCTATGTATTTATGGAAATTTATACTGACATTTTTCTACTCTGTAGGCTGATCCAAAATTTCTGTGGAACCGCGAAATGCTGAAGTTTCTGACGGAGGCCAATGTAAGAGCAATTTCCTCTATTTCCCCGCGATGCTTACTCACAGTTTGTCTTAATGCAGTTAGAATCCTACAGTTTACCATTGATACAAGGGAATATCCTTTGAGACTGAGACAAGTACATATTGCATGACATTGTTCCTTGACGATAAACCACGCTTTCAGTCTAAACGGATCCTGGTGAACGATAGATTTATTACTCTTTCTCTGGTTTCAAGGCGAGCTGTAGATCGCATTGGTGAGTTATTCATTACTTTTGTCCTTTTACTGATAAATGAGCGTCAGGCACTCGGATGTGGAGACGAGGCGCCGACCTTCAAGGGAATGTTGCAAATTTTGTTGAAACCGAGCAAATGCTAGAACTAGATGGCTATCAAGCCTCCTACGTACTGGTATACGATATTTTATTGTTCACGTGTTTTTTTTTTCTCACTCGGGATTTTTTTTGCAGGTCAGGGGCTCAATCCCTGTACTCTGGGAACAAATCGTGGATCTTACTTACAAACCTGTACTTAGCACTGTCTATCCATCCCAAACGGTACAGCTAAAACTTTGATAAACTTATTCGCTTTGGTGCCTCAGCCTAAGGTGGTCGAGCGACACTTTCAAGATCTTTGTGAGAAGTACGGATCTGTTTTGGCTGTTGATCTTATTAATCAGGTAACTAGTCGATCCTTCGCACGAAGCAACTCCCTGATTTCATCTTCGTCCATTGTAGCAAGGATTGGAAGGAGTACTGAGCGTGGCATACAAAAATGCAATGATCAAACTGGAAAACGAGAAATTGAAGTATGTATATTTCCGCAGGATATATGTTCAGATGATTCAGCTGAAACTTTCAGATATGTACCGTTTGACTTCCATCGTGTCTGCGGTCAAATCCACTTCGATAAACTGTCTACTCTTCATGATCAAATCGCAGAACAACTGATGCAGCAAGGGTGAAAAAACAATTATTGCTCATACCATTTCAAATATAAGAATGTTTTTGTCCAGGTTTTATCTCGTTAATAGTGAACGTAAAGTTGTGCAAGCCCAGAATGGAGTTGTGAGGACAAATTGTATCGACTGTTTGGATCGTGTGAACGTAACACAGGCAAGTTCTTAATGTTCCGATCAAGCTCAAGTAGAAAATGTGGTCTTCTATCGTTTCAGAGCTTGATAGCAAGAAGAGCGTTGGAAGCGCAGCTGCAAAAGATCGGGTTTTTCAAGCTGCAAGAAAAAATCGAGCATCATCCTTGTCTTGAGAAGCACTTCAACCATTGTAATAATCTTTCCTTTCTTTGTTTCCTCCTTGTCTAATCCCTTTCACGTGAAACAGTATGGGCCGATCACGGTGATGAAATCAGCATTCAGTACACGGGAACACCAGCTCTAAAAGGAGACTTTGTCCGGTGAATCGCCACTGTGAAAGATTGTTTTCTTTTACTTTCTCGTGTGCTAGATCGCTAACTTTTGGACGCTGGCTTTTGTAGGCACGGAAGGCGGACAATTTCGGGCTTTATACAAGACGGAATCAGCGCTCTGACCCGCTACTACCTCAACAATTTCAAGGACGGCGCTCGACAGGTACAAAGCCTCAATTTTTTTCCAGCTTCCTTGTTGCTTCCTTTTTTCCAGGACGCTATGGACCTTGTCGCTGGACACTATGTTGTTACGCGTGGAAAGCCGTCTCCTTTCCCCTTTGGGCTGCACGAAGCGATCACAGTTAAGGACCACTGTTTTACTTGTTCGTCTTGTTCTGAGAGTTTCGCGTCGCTTTTGCGCTTGCAGTGCATGCCGCTTGCCACAAGTTTGATACTACTGCTTTTCGTGTGCTCGGCTTTATCCCTGAGAAGAGGTAAACGTGCTTCCACTTGTTTGCCGCCGCCTCAGATAGTGTCGATCCGATCTGCAGTGGAGAAAGATCCAGGCCAGCTCTTCAACGCTGTCGTGTGGGCGACACTCACCGCTAGCATCGTGTCGGCTGTCAGATTAAATGGTCGCCAGTTTTGCTCGAGACCACGCCTGTGCAAGCTCATCTCCTAGCACGAGCTCTAATAAAAATGGTTGGAACTTTAGATAGTGCTCCAGAGGTCAAGAAATCAAAGAAGAAATCAAAGAAAAATAAAGGATAACTTTCATCCAAAGATTATCTCGTAGAAAAAAAAAATGAATGGCTGGAATTTTAGATAGCGCTCCAGAGCGCAAGAAATGAAAGAAGAAAAGAAAAAAGAGAACTTTCGCATGTTTTAAATCTTGTGGTGCCCAACTTTCGCAAAAGCTTGTGATGCCCAACTAAGAAGCATCAGGACCTCGAGGAGAAGAGCAATGCTAGATCTAAAAACCAAAAGAAACAGTTTGGAACTTTAGATAGTGCTCCAGAGCTCAAGAATAAATCACAGAAGAAAACCAAAGGACAAGTTCTCGACTTTCACTTTTGCCACGTCACGTGCCACGCCAGCACCACTATATTTCCGCGAATATGCTCCCCTAGGGCTCTTATTCGCTCGCGAAGAGAGAGAGAGAGAGAGAGGGAGAGAGCGAAGAGAGAGAAAAAGGAAGAAAAGAGGGGGAGAGAAGGGGGAGGGACGAGCACCATACCATGGCTGTGGAGCTCCAGATCCAAAGCACTAGTAGCAGCGCTCGCCGCCTCCCCGATTTCCTCCAGGGCGTCAATCTCAAGTACGTGAAGCTGGGCTACCACTACCTCATCACTCACCTCCTCACTCTCCTCCTCGTCCCGCTCCTCCTCGCCGTCCTCCTCGAGGCCACTCGCCTCGGCCCCGACCAGATCCTCCACCTCTGCCGCCACCTCCAGCTCAATCTCCTCAGCGTCCTCCTCTGCTCCGCATTGCTCGTCTTCGCCGCCACCGCCTACGCCATCTCCCGCCCCCGCCCCGTCTTCCTCCTCGACTTCTCCTGCTACCTCCCGCCCCCCCACCTCGAGGTCAAGTTCCAGCGCTTCATGGAGCACTCGCGCCTCTCGGGCCACTTCGACGATCGCAGCCTCGACTTCCAGCGCAAGATCCTCTCGCGCGCCGGGCTGGGCGAGGAGACGTACCTCCCGGCGGCGCTGCACGAGCTCCCCTCGCGCGCGTGTATGGCCACTGCCCGCCTCGAGGCCGAGGAGGTGATGTTTGGAGCCGTGGACGAGCTCCTCCAGCGCACCGGGATCCGGCCCAAGGACATCGGCGTGCTCGTCGTCAATTGCAGCCTCTTCAATCCCACGCCTTCCCTGTCAGCCATGATCATCAATCGCTACAAGATGCGAGGGAACGTCAAGAGCTACAACCTCGGCGGGATGGGCTGTAGCGCCGGCGTCATCGCTGTGGATCTGGCCAGGGACATCCTCCAGGTGGAGCGGAGAACGTACGCGCTGGTGGTGAGCACCGAGAACGTCACCCAGAACTGGTACTCCGGCAACCAGCGCAGCATGCTCATCCCGAACTGCCTCTTCCGGATGGGTGGCGCCGCGCTGCTGCTCACGAATCGCCGCGCCAAGAGGCACCGAGCGAAGTACGAGCTCGTCCACACTGTAAGAACGCACAAGGGAGCCGACGATAAGTGCTATGGATGTGTTTACCAGGAGCAAGATGGCGATGGAAAGATGGGAGTCTCGCTGTCCAAGGAGCTCATGGCCATCGCCGGGGACGCTCTCAAGACCAACATCACGACGCTGGGCCCGCTGGTACTGCCGCTGTCCGAGCAGATCATCTTCTTCGTGGTGCTCGTCCTGCGGAAGCTCACCAAGCGTAAGAACCGGTTCAAGACTTACATACCCGACTTCAAGCTGGCGTTCGAGCACTTTTGCATCCACGCCGGCGGCCGGGCCGTGATCGACGAGCTGGAGAAGAACCTGCAGCTGACGGAGCGTCATGTGGAGGCGTCGAGGATGACGCTGCACAGATTCGGAAACACGTCGTCGTCGTCGATATGGTACGAGCTTGCGTACCTCGAGGCGAAAGGCCGGGTGAAGCGGGGCGACCGGGTGTGGCAGATTGCGTTTGGGAGTGGGTTCAAGTGTAACAGCGCCGTGTGGAGGGCGTTGCGGAGCATCAAGCCGCCGAGCCACGGGCCGTGGGAGGACTGCATTGACAAATACCCGGTACGCATTCCAGACGCTGTCGAAATTTGAGTCCCTGGAACAACAGACACTCACGTATAAGTATACATAAACTTTGATCTCTTCTTACTCTGCTCTTGTACCACCACCAGCTTTTTACGAGCGATTTTTGAATGAAACCAACCATTCGTTTGATCTGTCGTTCTTGACTGCGTCCAGGCATCTCATCTCAGTACGAATCCAGCTGTGCAATTGATAGATACGTTCTATCTGCTTGCCTTGAATTCCAATTCTCTGAAGTGATAAAAGTCAGAAATATTGTAGAGTACCTCCAAATTGCTACTTGGAGGGGTCCCAAAAGTCTGCTGCTTGTAGGCCCAGATTCTCGGGGAGACTAACACGCTTGAAACTCTGGAACAAATTTCAAAGCGAAAGAAACTGTTGGAACAGACATCGGTAGATTATTGTGTACTGGTGTTCAGACTTTTTGCCCATCCTTACTCATCATCTTCATCCATTCGAGATGTAAGACAGGCCGGAAACGTGAAAACTTGTTCACCGCTCCTCATAGATGAGTGGACTATACTGAGGTGACCACATGTATTGGTCAACGTACTCGCGGATTTGATCCTGGTTGATACGAAAGCTAGACGGTTCAGTTGGCACTCAAAAGAGAATGCACTTACCTCAGACATGTGCTGAAGCTCTCTCGCGGACAGATCTCTGTAACCTTCGACAATGTCTTCTTCAACTGCAGCACGAAGCACAGCGACCGCGACTTCCTTGGATATGTCGCGAATGCTATCGATACAAGCAAGTAAAATGAGCACACCTGGAGAAGAATACAAAAGCAGTTAACCTTGAAATTGGTGGATAGATCTTTCCGTTGTTCACGTCCTCCTCACCCATGTAAGACGCTAACCTGATGCACAGAACAACGTCAACATCGACAAATGTTTGATTACCGATGGAACTCACCTTGCTGCGGCGGAGCTTAACATTCGATCTGTAACTGTTCTTGCTCCACAGAGGAGCGTGCCGAGTCCAATTCTAATAGAAAACAGCGGTTTTAAACGCGTTGAAAACCACATGAAGAATTTACACACCCTGGGAAAAGGTACATATTGTTGCCTTGATTTACATGACCGATTTTCCCATTCTCTGCACGGAGATGGTTATTGAGAAATTCAGTAAAACACAAGATTACCAAGTTCCACGTCATCAAAAGGACTTCCACTTGCAAAGATAATGTGATCTCCCACATTCTTAAATGCTTCTTCTGCTGTGCATTCAGCTGAAAAAATGGAAAGCTTACTTAGCATGCGTGTCGCCGGAGTAATAACAACTTACCGTTCATTGTAGGATTGGACATTGGAAAAATTGCAGGTCTTTTGTAATCTGCATTTTTCATTTCTCGCAAAACCTGTGGAAGAAACACATTTACTTAGAAGTCTTTTGAATGGCGATTTACCTCCGGGGTGAAAATACCTCCAACTCCAGACAAGCCAACAAGCATATCTGGCTTAACCTGTTTTACCTGTATAAGATGTGTAAGCATACAAAGAGCGATGTTCCTGAGCCCCAACGTACCACTTCCAAAAGACTTGCACCTTCTCTCAAGCCTTCATTTGTATTTCGAGCAAATGGTTTTGCATCTGGATCAACGTCAGCATCAGCGCGTTCTTTCGTTACCAAACCCTGCCCCATCACAGAGTACGTAAAACCAGCTCAAACTTTTAAAACCGCACCGACCAGTTTGTCTAAAATGTACAAGTTTCGGGTAGCCTTGGACTTATCCCCAAGGATTTGTCCAATTGCCTTCCTTGTCATGTGAAGAACGCCTAGTCCGGCACTGCAGTCACAAGAAAAGAAAACGTTTTAGAATATGATATAAATATATACATAGCACAGATTTTAACCTCCCAGCTCCAACGACGACTATTTTTGCATTAGCAAGTTCAGACAGTGGCTTTCCTTGAGCTCTCACAGCTCCAAAGAGTCCAGCGAGAGCAACACCAGCGGTACCCTGGGTGAAACATCAAGTTTAGGAGAAAAAATTTCTAGGTTCTTCAACGTACCTGGACATCATCGTTAAACATCCGGTAATGATTTCGATACCGCTGTAGAAGCTTGAAGGCCCATTTGGACTGGAAATCTTCAAACTGCCACCACATGCAGCATGATCGCCATAAAAGGATAGAAATACAAAAATATGATTACCTGCACGATTACATGTGGCCAGCGTGTGAAAACACCTTCCATGAACTCGTCGATTACAGCTAAGTAATCTTCTCCTTCGAGCCTAGGCTGTTGCAACCCCAGATCTGTGACAAAGTATGACTCAAGTAAGCACGATCACCGAATAACTAACTTACACAAAGGATCATCTAACAATTTTTTATTGTTTGTCCCGACATCGATCATTACAGGAAGAACCTATAGCACATTACACAGTGTGAGGACAAAAACTTTAAAAGAGCTACATTGACTTACTCGTTGCGGGTTGAATCCAGCGGCAGCAACATACAAGTCAAGTTTTCCAATTGGAATCCCTATGCCTTGAACGCCAAGGTCACCGAGCCCCAAAATCCGACTTCCATCGGTCACCACAATTATGTCCACCTTTGAAACAAAAATCCCATGCGTCAGTCACGTCCTTCGAGAATTTTTGTCACTTACGTGTTCCGCGGGCCAGTTATAGATCATTGAAACCATCTCACCCCGATCTGCGGAGCTAAAATACATGCCTCGCGGACGTCTGAAAAGACCACTGTAGTTCTGGCACACGAGACCAACTGTAGGAGTGTAAATAATGGGAGCAAAGTTCTTGATGTTGTCAATGAGAATCTTAAGAAAAAGAAAAGAGAAATCCAAAAAAATGAGCTCCTGGTCTTAATGTTGACGATAGAGTGCTTACTTTGTAATACAGAGTTTCGTTGCGGTCATGAAGCCTGTTAAGAATTCTCCACTTCGCCAATGCGGACATATCTCTGGGACCATCTCTGGTGGTTCTTTCCAAAGACTTAAAATCGCTCACTGGTAAGATAGGACCGCGTAAGAACATTTCCAAGCTAGCCTAGTTTGTCGAAAGATCACTCACTAAAACGGTCAATCTGCTGTTGAGGGGTCATCACACGCGGTGGAAGAAGTCCGCGGAGTCCCAGCCTGTCCCTTTCAGTTGGCGGCAAAGCAGTCCCCTGTACACGCAATGGCGGCCGGCGTGAGAAATCCTCGATTCGCGCCAGACTCCGAGAGAAATCAGATCGTCACACATTACCTTGTTATACCACGGATCGTGAAGAATGTCAGCCCCGCGCTTGTGAACGATCGTCGGCCTGCCGCTGCTCCGGAAGAGGTGATGCCCATTCGCAATGCCGCGGTGAGATCCCCAGCTCCAAGCGCTCGCGACTAGATCGACCAAGCGCCTCCGCCGAGCGCAAAATATCGCCATTGCCGGCGATACCCTAGAGCTCCTCTGCTGTTGGAGGAGCTATTCAAACAAAAATTCTCTCACCAAATGCCACGTGTCAGCTGCCTTAAGATGATCCATTTTTTTACTTTTTTTAACCGGTATGTTTTAGGCTGTTTTGCCACGTCACTGTCAAGTTTAGGGTTTTGATTGCCACATCATCGTCCACGTGGAGATGGGGAGCTAGGGTTTATGGTGGAGGGAAAATATTTGGGCTATGGCACAGGACAATGGCGCCACAGTGCTCGTCAAGGCGTGGGAGCGGCGCCCACGATGGATGCTCAACAACATCTCGCTCAAGGAGAAGAAACCGGTGAGTGAGGCGCTGGATTCTCGCCACAAATCCGAAGAAGAAGAGGAATCACAGCGCCGGTCGAGGATTTTCTTTGGGGCAATGAGTTTCGCGAAGAATGTGGCAAATGTGGCCGCTGTGGAGGGGAATCCCCGGTTTGCGCAGCTTCTCACGCATCCCGTGGCGTTCATGCACTTCGTTCCCAGAGATTTGGCCCTCTTTTTCGCTGGAGCGTTGGCTGGAGCTACAGCAAAGTCAGTCACAGCTCCACTGGATCGAGTCAAGCTTCTTATGCAAGTAAGTACTTGACAGTCAGTCAAAGAGAATAGCGTTCTAATGTCTATTTCTTTGTTTTGTTGAACAGGTACAGGGTTTAAAGATAGGCGAAGAAGGTGCAAAGAAGGCCACTGGGTTCATAGAGGTAGAGCGTTTTTTTTTCCTCTTGTAATGTTCTCTCAACTTTGTGATGTTTTTGCAGGCCATTGTGAAGATCGGTCAGGACGAAGGCTTGAAAGGCTATTGGAAAGGAAATCTTCCTCAGGTGCAATAACTCTTAAATAAATTCTTTTTCATGCGAGGCTTGCATGTTTTTGTTTGTCACAGGTGATACGCGTGATACCATACAGCGCAATGCAGCTTTTTGCATATGAAACTTACAAGGTAAGCTTTCAAAGAGCAGAGGTTTTTGCGGACAGAAAGAGCGATCTTACATTTTCTCATTGTAGAAATTGTTTAAAGGCACCGACGATGAGCTCTCTGTTCTAGGACGACTAGCTGCGGGAGGATGTGCAGGCATGACTTCCACTCTGGTTGGTGCTGCATTTTGATGGAAGGTCTCTGTGGTCTTCCTTTGATTTCTATTTTCTTATTCTTCTTCTTCCCCCTTATCGCTGTTTATACAGGTTACATATCCTTTGGACGTTTTGAGGCTGAGACTAGCAGTTGATCCAGTGGCGAAGTCCATGACCCAGGTTTTCTCTTTATTATGAAGTTTTCATATGCTGATTAAAGCTTTCTTTCAGGTCGCTCTGGAAATGCTCCGTGAAGAGGGTCTGGGATCGTTTTACAAGGGACTTGGCCCGTCGCTCATGAGTATTGCGCCTTACATAGCAGTGAATTTTTGCGTCTTCGACTTGTAAGGATCAAACTTTTCTTTTTTCTTCTATCAAATTCTACCATTTTTCTTGTAGGATGAAGAAAACATTTCCGGAGGACTTCCGTAAGAAGCCACAGTCGTCATTTCTGACGGCGATCGCGTCGGCAACTGTTGCGACTTTGTTGTGCTACCCCCTCGACACAGTTCGCAGGCAAATGCAGATGAAAGGAACGCCGTTTGGCAGCGTTCTGGAAGCGTTTCCAGGTGAATTAGTTTCCATCTCTTTGTTTCGACAAGAGTTCTATCTTCTTTTCTTTCCTAGGAATCATTGAGCGAGATGGGGTGCTTGGTCTGTATCGCGGCTTTGTTCCCAATGCACTGAAGAACCTTCCAAACAGCAGGTAAACCAAAGCTGCGATTTTATGATAAATGTTCTCCCTTTTCTTTGCGCGCAGCATCCGCTTGACAACATTTGATGCCGCGAAGAACTTGATCCAAGCTGGGGAAAGCGAATACCAAAAGCTTGTCCAAGAGAAATGTGACAAGAACATAGACTAAAAGAGTCTCAGTCCATCCATTTTTGTACGAGCATTCATTCATTACAAGTGTTTATTTTAGTTCTCATAGTTGCGTGGGCATTGTTTTCAAGATTTTCCAGGATTCAGCATAAGTCATCTAATTCAAATTTGTTAGTGAAGATTTAACTTTTAACACTTTTTTGGGGGCATATGGCTACAAGTTCGACTGCGATGGAGTTCATGGCCTCCTCAAGTACACCAAGCCTCTTTGCCCAGTTTCAGTGAACGCTGTTGTTACTCTGAGCTCTGAGCTGCTGTGCCCTCTGCCTGCTGTATTCGCGTATGTTTCAATTCGTTTTGACTGCTAAAACTTTATGAACTGGATGGACGTCTGAGGAGTAAGCTTCATGAATAAATAAAAGCTTCGAGTTTGGTGCTTAGTTTTGTATTGCTGTTGTTGTGTTATTGAAGACTGCTCAGCAAAGCTCATTATCACATTATGGTCGATCTAAAGTGTACAATTATATATTTTCTCACTGGCTGGCTCCCCTTTCCCTTTCAATTTCACCATATGCTCGAGAAAACCTCACGTCCTTGCGAAGTGCTGCGTAACATGTTACCTGAGAGGATGCCATGTTTTAAGTCACGCACCGCGCTCCATGCTTTACGTTGACTCTCAACGTAGAACGTAATTAGCATCATTTTCGGCATCAGAAAGCATAGGATGGCAATCATTTTCACTCGAGGATGGTTGCCTGCCTGATTGTTCTTGCTGCGCTAAGGCTAGCTCAGACAGTCCAAGATGTAACTTAAAGTGGAAAGAGAGGTGGTAACTAAAGTATGAGTAGTAATGCTTGAGGGGAATTTGTTGAAATCAAACAATTAAAAGGAAGATAGTGGTGTAACTGTGCCTTTTAAAGGTGAAAAATGAATTTGAGGATCTGAACGGGTAAACAAGATTCTTTGATTTGCTATAAAATATACTATAAGTCCTATAAATATGAAATGGCCGTACAAGGGTTCCCCTGTTGCACATTGTCAATGATGATTGAAGGAAGCCCTGCCCTTTTAAAGAGACCCTTGATTCCAGATACCATTGCAAATAATTTTCTATACAAATATCCTTTTAAAAAACATAATGGCTTCTTTTAAAATTTATTTATTTATATTTAATCAAAGAAAATTTATACATTACATCGAAGTTTCTTATTCCAATAAGTAAAACATTTATTTTTTCCGTGATACCAATACGAGTTTAAAAAGGCATTCAGAAACTGTGAGATTAAAAGAAAGAGTAAATCCAAATTTTCCAAAGGACAAGGAAATTACTGGAAAAATACCGACCAAGCTTTTGCTTGTACATTCATTCACAAATTGTGATGAGACGTGACGCTTCCAGGAACAATTTGATAACTGAGAGTCAAGATGAATGTTCGCCGCTCCAGTTCAGCGAGCCCTTCGGGTCTATAGCGATTCTGCTTGGTGCAGCCATTTCGCTGGACAGCTTGAGAACTTCAGCGAGATCCATGGGCTGGATTGGGTCTGCCTGGAACTCGAACTGTTGAGCCAATCGAGCCGTCCAGAGGACGTCCGAATGGAGCGAGACGTGCTCCAGCATGATCGTTGATGCAGAGCATGGAGTCTCCACGGATGGTCACACCATACCTCCAATCTTTTTCACCCTGGAAGGATTCTACTTGATCTTCTCCCTCCATACTCGAGCCCAGAATGCAAGTGATCCATCCTCCCCTCCACCACCTTCCTCAAAGCGTCCTTGCAAGCCATTTATTTGTATTTGATCACTGTTATTACGCAAACTAAACATTAGTAGCAAATTATTTGATTAAGAACTTTATTTATAGAAGCATAGAAATTATATATAGAGATTCTTAAATTATTTTAAGTTTTTAGATTTTAAGCTATAAAGTGATGGAGGCAAAATAATTAAAAGGTTTCCTCTTCTACAAGAGATTCAAGACAAAGCATGGGAATCACTCACTGCTGTAAGCTTAGACCTGTGCGACAATGAATGGCTTGCTTGTAAATAGCAAAAAGCTTTCCTCGTTGACTGGTCCTGAATTTGTTGACCAGGATGCGCAAGCCACATAAATAAAGTATTCTTCAGGCCCTTTGCGCCATTTTACCCTGAAAAAATGGGTTTACCCTTGCAAAACGAAACACAGGGGGTAGAAAATATCAAAATTTTCACCCTGGTGAAAAGGTAAAAGTGAAGTTTCAAATGAAACCTTTTTTGTTATACACGTTATTAATAATAATTCAAGGACGAGGTCGCGATATGTACGCCAAATGCCACAGTTTGGGAGACGCTTATGCGGTGTTCCAGAGAATGCCATGCCACGGCTTGGTTTCCTGGAACGCTCATTCGTTGGCTGCGAAGAGAGGCTGTGACTCGGATAAGTCTGGTTGATTTTTATATGAGGTTTGGGAGCATGGCAGAAGCAACTATCTTTCAAGAAGGCTAATAACTGTGGTGCTGTGTATGGCAAGCAATATGTGACATTCGGTTTTGTCTAAGGTGGCACTTCTGGTGGTCGTCTTATCAAAATCCCAGTGTCTGTCACACTTGCGTAACTTGAGAATCCACATCGGCGAACCGCTCTTTTAACGTTCTCCATTTGGCCATGGTGCGAGGGGGGGCGATGTGCTGAGTGGCGCTGTCCAGAGGCCATGGACTGACAAGGAAACCTCATCTTACCAGACTAGGAGATAAACCGTAACCTAATGTCAGCGGCGAATAAAGGTCCCTGGCGTGCAGAAAGTTATACTTGATAAGACTGTAAAGTGCCTCTTTTGCTGATCATCTGCTGTCCTCGAATTCAACTTTGGAGACAAGATCGCTAGCTCTGGCCCTGACTCAAAAGCCTTTTCAACGTCGCAAAACACCCTACGCTCGTGTAAGAACTTCCAGTTGAGCCACGTTGATTTCATATTAACCATGTCATGTTAATAACATAAGATAATTTCTCAGCAACTGTCGCGAGCAGAGAGATCCTCCCACCAACGTACCCATAGATGTCCCTCCCACAAGTCCTCTGGAATGTCAGCTGCAAGCTCTTCATGGAAAAAGGCGTGCGCCTCCTCCTCCACCAGCTCTCCCACCACTGCAACCTCCGGCATAAGTCCTTGAACGGGCTCGGATAGCTAGAATAACATTGGGGGCTGCAGATCCTTTTCTATCAGCATGATAATCGCAATTTTGCAGTGTTGCGAGATCACCGGGTTCCACTGTTGGAGCCTGTCAGCATGGTCAATGGGAAGCCACTTTAACGGGCTGTGGCTCGCCTGTTAACTTGATCCAGCCGTTGGCAGCCATTGGATCGAGTCAGGTTCTCTACGAAAATTTTACTGTTGTCAGCCACATTCTGGAGAACGTATCAGGTTCTAGAGAATGTGGCTGACAACTGCTAGGTTCTCCAGAACCCAACTGCCAGCCGTGAGGTTCTAGAGAACTCTCTCATCCTCCAATAACGTTATTACACGTGTCCATTAACGGTCTCGCCACAGCCCGTTAAGGCCGTTCCCAGGCACGGCCTCGCTCGTTCCCTCCAGAATGCACTCGCTGGGCTAACGCCCGGCTCGCCCGTTTTGGGCAGGAACGTGCTCACCCTACCCGGGAACTGCCTCATCCCCAAGCACTTTCCCATTCATAAAGAGACCCTTGATTCCAGACACCATAACCGAAACACCGCAGTTGCAAATGGAGAAGAGCTGGCCTTGAGATGCGCCTACGCATGTTGATTAGTATCGTGTGGTTAAGCCACACTTACCCTTCTAAAGCAAACCTAAGATTATGCGAATTAAATCTCTTTAGCCATAACAATAAGAGGAAGTTTAGGGTTTTAGGGGCGTCATGAGTAAATGATCGATCGTCGCGGCGCCAGGAAATCTGTTAGTACTTTCTTCGCGGCATCGAGATCTTGCCTCGATCCCGAGCTGTCAGCGAGATTCCTCCTGTGGAGCCGAAATCGCGAGCAACAGGAAGACAATCCCCTCGTCTTGGCCGCATTGAGGGCGTGTAGGAGATTGAAGGACTTGGAGAGCGGCAAGAGGATCCACTGGAATCATCTCCGGCGACGAGGTACGAGCATTTACATCTCCACGTCGCTGTTTGATATGTACGCCAAATGCCACAGCTTGGGAGACGCCTGTGCGGTGTTCCAGAGAATGCCGTGCCACGCCTTGGTTTCCTGGAACGCTTTCTCGCTGGGGCTCGTGGAAAATGGCGAGAACGAGCTAGCTCTCGAGTTCTTCCAGAGGCTCGTGCAAGGAAGCTGTGCGATGGATGCTAGAACTTTTGTGTCCGCGCTGATGGCTTGCGCTGGCTTGGCGGAGCTTGATCATCGCGCGAGATGGTGCTTGGAGAAAGGTATGGAGATTCATTCCTTAGCTGCGAAGAGAGGCTGTGACTTGGATAAGTTTGTGGTTGCCAGTTTGGTCGATTTGTACGCGAAGTGTGGGAGCATGGAGGAAGCGCGAGAAGTTTTCGAGAAGGCTACACAGCGTGATGTGGTGTTGTGGACTGCTTTGATTTTCGGTTACGTAGAGAACGGCCAGTGCGAAGTGGCTATGGAGCTCTACGAATCCATGAAAGGTGAAAGTTGTGTGCCAAATGCGAGGACGTTTGTTGCGGTTCTCATGGCGTGTGGTGCTTTGGCAGAGAAAGAAGCTGGCGTGGAGTCAAACGGGAGGGCCGTGAAGCTCAAGAGCTTGGAAACATGTTTCACCATCCACGCTCGAGCTTTGGAGGGGAGCTGCAACGCAAACTTGGACTGCTTCGTGGCAAGTAATTTGGTCGATGTGTATGCCAAGTCTGGAAGCTTGCTTGACGCTCGAGCTGTTTTTGACAGGATGCCTGAGCACGACGTTGTGCTGTGGACGTGTCTGATCCTTGGATGCGTGCAAAACGGCGAGAGCGAGGTCGCTCTGGAGCTTTACGAGTGCATGGAAGCGCAAGGTTGTGCGAGAAACTCTCGAAGTTTTGTAGCCGGACTAATGGCTTGCGCTTGTTTGGCCGCGCAGGAAGAGAGCGATGAGATCATCCATTGGAAGGTCAAGAATCTGGAAAAGTCTCTCCGGATCCACTCTCAAGCAGCGAAAGCCGTCCAACTCGGTGATATCTTCCTCTCCAGCGCCCTGGTCGACACTTACGCAAAGTGTAAGAGCATGCTGGACGCTCGAGCGTTGTTCGACCAGATGAAGCATCACGACGTCGTGTCGTGGACCTCGTTGCTACTGGGATATGCTGAGACGGGGGAGAGCAAGATGGTTTTGGAGCTGTTCAAAGCTTTTGAATGCACAGGGCTGGAAGCAACGCTGCCAACCTTTGCAGCGGTGCTGATGGCTTGCGGGACTTTGGTGGATCTGGAAACCGGAAGGGAAATCCATGCTGGGATCTGCAAGAGGGGACTGGAGAGCAGCAGCGTCACAAACAGTGTCATCGATTTCTACGGCAAGTGTGGAAGTATAGCCGTTGCTCAGCACATCTTTGATTCTGCTGTGATATCCAGGGACGTGGTTTTGTGGAACACGCTGATAGCAGGCTATAGTCACCAAGGCGATGCAGCCAAAGTGGTGGAGATCTTTGGTAACGTGCTAGAGGAGGGCGTCAGGCCGGATGGATTTACGTTCCTCTCGGTTATCGCGGCGTGCAGTGCCGCGGGATGGATCGAGCAGGGCCGGAAGTTTTTCCAGGAGATGTGGAGGTATGACATAGCTCCAGGCCTTCGCCACTACTCGAGCATGGTGGACTTGTTTGGTCGGGCGAGCTCTCTTGAGGAAGCGGTAGCAGTGGAGCGAGCCATGCCTTTCAAGCACGATCAAGTAGCACGCACGACATTGTTGGCAGCCAGTTTGCGTGATTAAGTTCCATTCATATAAAGGTTTATGAATTTAAATTTCCGTTTTATATTTATCAAAAGGAAATGTGAATATATTCTAGGATGTAAGGATAAAAGAAATATTTTGGAAGGATTAAAATTGAGCCTGCGGAGATGAAGAAAACAATTGAAAGCTAAAACACTGACTTATATTTACAAGATATCTACAGCTGCAAAAGAAATTTTTGTTTTAGATGATACCTTCTAATGGCAGTATTTTCCTCTTAGCCTAAAACATGATGTTGAACTCTCTAGATCGAATGCTCCAGATCCATATGCATTCAAGGTTTTCATCATTTGCCATATGGCACTGGAGTTTTAGACATTGGTTGTTGTAAATATCCTACTCAACCCACTTCTTAATCTCATCGTCAATTACACATGTTACAAAAAGGAGGAGCTGTTGGCATTATAACCTATGGGCCTTGGCATCCAGTGAAGTGATGATGTGTTTCATTCCTCATTTATGGTATGTTAGAACAAAATACTGGATATAAGTTAATATATACTGGATATTACTTTCATAAAGCATCTCTATATCTTTTTGGAGATTGCTCAGGAACTTCACCATCTCAACTTTGGCAATATCATTTGCAAACCTGTGTTGCAATAGTTTGGGAACCTCTATTTGTGTGGCATGCAATTTTACATTGTTTTGGCCAAGTGACAAGACTAATGGCATCCTAGTCTTATTTTGTTTTTATTTAAGGAGAGGGCAATACACACTATTTATTAATTCTTTGCTACTGATCTTGATAGCATTCTTATTGAAAAGGAGCTCATGAAGTAGTTTCTTTTGTTTCCATCTGTTGCTCTTACTTTTAGTGTTCTAATAAATTCACAGTTGCTAAAACATAGGAAAGGCTCCTAACTTGCAGAACCAGCAATCCATAAACAATGCTGATGGATCAGGCCCAAATACCTGATAGCCTCAAAGATCTGGAACAAGATAATTCCAGATACTCATTGAGTGACACCAATGATGACAACATATCCCATACATCAACACCAGCCCGTTGTGAATTTACTGTGGGTTTGCCAGATATATTCTATTTGATTTATATAGCAAAGTCCCTCTCACATAAAGTCTTTTAGATGTAGAAATTTTTGCAGTTGCTGGTGCAAAAAACTTCGCAAAAGGCCAGAAAAGAGACAGAGTCCAATCTTGGCTTTGGTCCTGGCCGTGGAGGTTGACAAGACATGTAAACCATTTTCGTTCCAGGGAAGAACTTGGCGAAATTCCACTCTTTTGCTTCGTCAAATCCTGAAAAAAGACTTTAACTGAATATTGTATATATACTTATCTACAGAATGTAAAGTGCCCTCTGGAGGCAATCGTGGCGTGGCTGGGCGATTAGAGCTGTGTTCGAAGAGCTTGCGTTTTGTGCTTTGTTTTTTACTTGTGCTTGTCATAGAAGAACAAAAGCTCGGGATTTGGCAGCTGCTCCTTGTCATAAAAGAACAAAGGCTCGGGATTTGGTTTTGACAGCTTTGTCTTGATCTTGTTGCTATAATTGCTTTTCATTGTCCTTGAGCATTCTTAGTGTTTCAGGTGACTGAAATACACATATATCATTAAGATAAGTTAGAAGATCTCACCTTGAAAAGCAAATGAGCCAAGCCTCGTGAGGTGAAAGAGTCGAGCTGCTGACGAGTTTCACTTTCTTTTGAAGGAATCGTCACGCTGGATGCTGCTTGGCAGTAAAAGAAAAGAAATCAAATGATCATGTAAAGCACGGGAACTGGAATTTCGGCAGGAGTAGCTGAGAATTTGCTCTCGAAATCGGTGTTAGAGGTAAAGGTGAGTGCATCCTACATATCAGTTTTCTCCTCGTGGTTTACAAGAAAAAAGAAAACTTACCAAGTCGCAAAGAAATCCTACAATATTTGTATCTAAACTACAGACTCAAATTTTGTTGTTAAACTTTCTCTATGTTTAATATTACTTACCAAACCAGAGACCCTCTTGTTTTCCTGATATCCTGGCAATATTTCCTTCTCTTTCTACAATTGAGTGATTCTTCTTTCTTTCCTCTATCAGCACAGCGGCAAGATTGATTGGAATGGGAGAGGCGCTGTGGAGAAATCGAGGCACATGCCGACACTACAAGCTCCAGGTAAGAGATTCTTCCCATGTGTGGAGAATGTTCTCTTTGTTCTTTAGTGTGGATGTTATGTTGAAGGTGGAAGCTTGGGAAACGCTGCCTTGAAGGTAAGCTACGAATTTTCCTCTCCAATTTTTTCTTCCAGGTGATTGTTTCGCAAGAATGTGATAATTGAAATCTGGGCCGTCCATTGGATAATGTATGTACAATCTAGACCGGTGCATTTCAAAAAATCTGGACCGTTAACATATGGCAATTAACTGGTGATGTGGCACATTTGTGGCAAGACGAAATATGTGTGATTATGCACCTAAAATTCAACATTGGGTAATGGGTTACATATGTATATTAGATTTATATAGAAACTAAAAGAGAAGAGAAAAAGGGGATATAAGAAAATTGTTCACTTGGTCCTAACTTGCTCATCCTCTGTATTAAAGAGAAAATTGCTTAGTTGTAAACCTCCAATCCATCCATTAGAGGAAGTACCACATGAGAAACAAAAGGTTAATGCTAGTCATCTCTTATTCTTTTGAAGAAGCTAGAATCTAGTGCTCCCTTTAATCCATTTGATAAATCCATCATAAGATCAAAAGATTGCAGTGTCAATCTCTATATTAGATTCAGCACTCTATAGAAGGACATATGTGTGCATTAGATAGTAATTGACCATTTTAATTAGCAATTTGCTTGATTGGGCAAATTTTATTTATTTTACATTAGCCAATGTTGTTGCAAAACACTAATGGCAAGTAAATGTATATGACTAACTTGATTTTCAATTTCAACATTTGGATTTTGTTCTTTAGTTTTTCAGAAGTAAAAACTTTAAAAATATCTTTAAAATCTTTTAGTTTCAGAAATATCTCTTTTTCCCTTTTTCTCTCACATTAAAATTATGTTTTAATCAATTCATTTATAAACCAATATAAAATATCTCTAAGTTTTTATTAAAAAATTAATGGTTATGTAGTGAATAGATCTTATAGTAAGAAATTATTTTTATCAATGAATAATAAAATGTATTTATAATATAATTTCAGCTCAAAATTTTATAAAGATATTTTATTTTTGGTTAAAAGTATACTTAAAAAAATTAATTAACTAAGTTTTTAGAATAAATTATTAAATATAAGGTTAGAGATTTAATCATGATACAACTACTTGGTATTTAGAGTTTTTAGGAACTAAATTTGAATTATTCAACTATTATTTTTACCTTCTATAATATTTATTTTTTCATCCTCTTTATATAACTATAGAAGTTTAATATCCCATACTTTTAAACTTTTTATCACTTTGCAACACATTTTTAGATATCCCTATAGTATTGTATTTATTGATTCCATGTGAAATATATTTATTTGTTCTTTCAAAGTATAGTTGATGAACTTAACACCACTTTTTTCACCTATTATATTAAATTAATATTTATATTAAAAAATATTTTTTATGTTTGTAATTGTTCAATTGTCTTATATCTAAGATTTCATCAATTATTTTAATGGGAAATAATTTTATAATGACTTGATAAATAAATTTTTTTATCCTCTTTTACAAATTAAAGTGAATAAATGATAGAAGTGGTGTTTCAGTGTTAATATTATTTTTAATTTTTATATATATATATATAATGCTACTTTTGAGAATAATACATGTTATAGCAAAGTTTAAAGCATAATGACCTATTAGAGTGGAAATATGAATAAATTAATAAATAGTCTTTTGTAAGTTTAATATCTCAATTAATTATTTAATTAATTAAATTAAAAGTGAGTTTTAATAAAGTTATTATTTTTACATGAATCTTTATAATAAATTTAATTTTTATTTTATTTAATATATTGATAATACAAGCAAATATGTATACAGTTAGTAGTTTGTGAGCTATAATCCAGCTGAAAAATATAATAAAATAACCTTTATAATGGAATTTATATTTATATTTCTTAAATTAAATGGAGTTTTAAGGTTTCTTAACAGTAGGCGAAAAAATTGCTTTCATTGACAAATGCTGGTCGTTTTTTCAACACATTTGCCACTATAGTCTTATAATCACCTTGTTGGTGTCCAAGTGGCAAGGCACAGCAACCATGGCCAAAGAGATATAACTGGAGCTCATCTTCATTTTTCTTACGGAGAGAAGCAATTTTTGCTTAGCTGAGAGCATCAGTCACCTTGTAAGTTAGCTTTAGAATCGTTCCTTTTGAGCTGGATAGAAAAAGCAATTAGGATTGACAAGCAAGGGAATGATTAGGAGTACCTTGGAGTTCTTCGGTAGTCTGCACTGTTCTTCTTAAAGCAGGAAGAGCTTCCTCTCGGAGATGGCGCTGTACACTCAAGACAAGCTAACAAAATTGTTCTGCACCTCACAAGAATTTAGAAAAGAAGAGAGCAGTGACGCTACGAATCAAAGTACCTGGAGAGGCTCATCGCGGATCTGGAGAGCCCATCGTCTCTGAGAATGCCGGGGAGATGTCGAACTGCTTAGAGAGGCCGGAGGGATTGGAGTCGATGGAGGCCATGAACTGCGACGCGTTGTTCTCGATGATGAGAGCGTCTTCCAGCTCGCGGACGATGTCGGACATGGACGGCCTCCGGCTGGAATGAGGTTGGACGCTCAGCATCGCGACTTCCAGCACTCTCCACATCGCCTCCGGACTGTAGCTGGAGCTGATGCTCGAGTCGACTATGGCTTCGATGTTTGTGTCTTGGATGTATGGTCTTGCCTGCAAAAATTTAGTAAATCTTTAGAGTCCATCTAAAACTCATGCGGTAGATATATTATCCTACCCATTCAACCAAGCTCCACTCCGACCGAGGACGGTCGATGCTCAGTGGCTCACGGCCACAGATGACTTCTAAAAGGACCACTCCAAAGCTATAGACATCACTTTTAACTGTGAGTTCTTGTGTCAAATAATATCTGGAAAAAACAGTGAGCAAGTTTGTTTCACAGCAATGCAGAGGTTTATGACTTACTCCGGGTCTAAATAGCCAGCGGTTCCACGAACTTCCAAAGAGACAACACTATCGCCGTCTTGAGGAGCAAACTTTGAAAATCCAAAATCTGCAACCTTTGCTGTCATGGATTGATCTAACAAAATGTTACTGGACTTAATATCCCTGTGTATAATTGATAAGTCCCCTCCAGCGTGAAGGAACGAGAGACCTGTTATAAACACATGTGTGACAACCTCGAAAGAAAAAGAATGCGTTTTTAACCTTTGGCAGCACCAAGAGCTATAGACAATCTCGTTGGCCAGTCGAGAGGCTTTCGCTTGAAACCTTCGCCTGTTTAGCAAGTGTCAAGTAGGCAAATGCATATGTTGCATACTTACCATACAATCTATCCTGTAGAGATCCATTTGGCATGTAAGGATATATAAGAATCTCTTGTTCATCTTCCGCACAGAAACCAAGCAGTGGAACGAGGTTTTCATGCTGAATTCTTGAGAGAAGATTGAGCTACATAACATTGACACACTTCGATACTGAAACGATGAAAACAAGCTTGGTAGTACCTCTGTGTTGAACTCACGAGTTCCTTGTATTGAGCTTGACGATCTAGCCTTCACAGCTACAGCTTGACCAGAGAGTGTGCCGTAGAAAACAGTGCCAAATCCACCTTCACCAATCACAGTCTTGTAACAATTGGTCGCATTGACCACCTCTTTCAGAGAAAGACGGCGTATGTGATTTGACTCTTTTGCATCTTTGGCAATTGTCGTCACATCTGCAGGTCTACTGTCAGCTCCAAAAACAATAAAAGAGAGAAAAAGCAAGCCTTTCTTACATTGTGGCGTTGCTTTCAACTGGCTGTTCGCACTGAATGCCACAATATCTACCAGCTTCATTTTGCGCTTGCGAATGGCAAAAAATAAGCACCCAGCCATGACAACCAAGAGGATTGCAAAGCCGCCAGCAAATCCAGCAATGAAAAACTTCGTCAAACTATGGCCCTTTGCATCCTCACCCCAGCCTAGTAGCAACTGGTTCCCAGAAAATCTGAAATATTCTATCGTAAGAATGAAAAACTGGGGAAGTCCGCAATGCTCACGTAAAGTTCACCATTTTGCGAAGGTCAGATGGTATATATCCCCCCAAGTCATTATTGTCCAAGTGCCTACCACAAATATATTGATCAGCCAACAACGACAGCGTCATGTTATACTTACAGCACCGCAAGCTTTGGCATATGTCCCAAATACTCAGGAATCGTCCCGTTTAGGTTGTTATTTTCAAGTCCCCTGTGCAAGAAATCAACTCTTGAGGTGGCTTATCAATGGGAAACGAACTCACAGTGTCGTCAAATTCTTAAGGGAAGAAAAGTCGGGAATTTCTCCAGTGAACATGTTTTCGTCCAGTTGCCTGTCAACCGCAAGTCACATACTGTTGCAAAACACAAATGCGTAACTTACAGAATTTCTAGATCCTCCAATCTGCTTAAACTGGTTGGAACAGAACCATTTAGACCTTTTCCTTCGAGATTTCTGTTCAGAGAATTAAAACTTAGAAGCTTGAAAATATGGGTACGTACTCACACTTCAACTATAGCTGGCCCTCCGCTTCTCATGTCGCAGTTAATGCCATCCCAGTTTGTCTGCAACGGAAGGCACGGATCTCCCGACCACTGCAATTTAGATCGGTACATTCCCTTCAAAGGCAGCAAAGCACCAACTACAAGGAAGAACCAAAGTTAGCACCTTCGACGCTCACTGGGAAGAAAAGAGAACATTACCATCGCGTTTCAAGGTTCCAGCTGCCTTTTTGACAATATGATACGCCTCAAGAGCATTCAACATGGGACCCCTTCGACTTGTATCATTGGCAATAAGCGAGATATTCAGTGTCGGGCTCGCAAGCACTTCGAAACATAGCTTATATCCGGCCAAGCCAGATATTTCCTGAATATCTAAGTTCCTGCGAATCATTTGATGGTTTGCAAGCACGTCAAAAATTCGATCACCAGGCCTCAGTAATGGCTCCAGCTCCAAAAAGTGCAGACAAACGTAGAAGTCAAGGTCAGAGCTTTCGACGTGGAATACATATTGTAAAGCGTTATCCGAGGTCGCTGCAGTATCCATTACGATCTTTGGAACGTGATCATAAAAGTCGCTGCCAACGCTTCCGTTGACGAACTTATCCGATCGAGATATATCTGTAGACCATATCAAATCTGATGGATCGACAGGGTACCTGAAATATTGCTTGAGTACCGAGAGTTAACATCAAAGCTTGATCTGTTTACCTGATGTTTTTGTCCCAGTTCGCAACGTCTAAACGGGCGATTGTCTCCAGGATGCCATCGGGAAGAAAGAAATTCACCAAAGGCCGGAGTTCCAATGATGATATCACAGGTTTCATACTTGCCGAGAGAGCAATAAGGCAGTAGCTCACTTCTTGAGCATCAGCTGTGAAAATTGCCTCGGCATGCTTGACATCATCCGTGAAAGTAACTTTGTGGATCAAAGTCGCGTCCAGGGAGATACTAAACGATGGCGGAGAGCCTTTCGTGTCATAGTTTCCATAGAAGAACGTCCCTCGGATCAAGTAAATAGTTCCGGGTGTAACTGGCAGCTTGTAGCAGCTCTTAGTATCGTCAAAGTACCTGAGGTGATCATAGAGCTTATGGTCGAAGCCATTCGCGGGTCCTAAATTCGCCTTGTCTCCTGGAACAAAAACCGGTCGTCCAAATCCATCAGCGTAAGCGTCATCGGGTATCCAGGTGAGGTTGTGAGAATCCAAAAAAGCGTTGTCACTTCCGCAAGCAAGACTGATAAAGCTCGCGTTCACAGCTGCGGAAAAAAAAAAAGCGTGAGAGACGAGCGTAAAGACATAGTAGTCAAAGACATAGAAAGTAACACCAAATTTGCATACCTCCTTGCGAGTTAGCAGCACAGAGCGTCAAGCGCACGAATAGAAGAAAAATTACTGTGAGATTCTCATAGACGCTGATGGCCATAAGGAAGAATGTCAGCAATCCCCTGTTCCAGCAGCTGGCAGGATCGGAAGCTCCCGCATCTTGGATCGATCGATGCCGCAGCTTTCCAAGAGGAATTTGGAGCCGCGGATTGTGGAGCGCCAGAAATTGAGAATGTAAGAGCTTGCGACTGACCTCAAGACCTCAAGAACGCCGTGATCGCCATCGCCAGGGCGAGTGCTTCAGCCCTAAAGCCCCGACAACGCGAACTACGATGTCATCGCCAGCTTGACGGAATATCCATACGAAAACTGACGGTGTTGGCGGTACTATTCAAAAACCGAATATGCTTTTTGGGTGTAGGGTTTTAGCTAGGGTTCTTTCTTCGCTCCTGGAAATGTGGGCGATCGCGCTGGAATGAGGCGCTTCTCGCGGCCCGGGAAGCATCTTGGCGCGTTTGTGCTCTACATTTCTCCGAGAAATCTTCTGGAGGTGCTAGCTAGCAGGAGATTTCATCGCTGGGAACCGCGAGGTGAGCAGCATTTCGATCCACAAGAATATTTTCTTAGTGTTCCTGCCCCTCCAGGAGGCCGCGGCATCGCCTCCTGTGCCGCCGGCGCGGATCTAAGCAACCAGGCGCTTGATCTCCTCGACACCACCGATTGCTTCGCCTTGATCCGGCTTCTCCAATCGTGCACGGATGAGAAATCTGGGAAGCGAATCCACGCGCGAATAGTTTCCAGGGGTCTAGAACAGGATCCTCTTCTCGCCTGCCCCATCGTCCAAATGTATCTCCGGTGTGGGAGCTTGACAGAGGCCGAGAGAGTCTTCCAGCGCCTGGCTCACCGCGGAGTCGTCCTGTGGACTTTGATGATGGCGAGCTACTCGTCCCGGGGGAAAGATCGAATGGTTCTACTGCTCTTCCGGCAAATGCAGCTAGAGGGCGTCAGGCCTGATCGAGCTGCGCTCCTCACGGTCCTAAACGCGTTCCAGGGGCCGGAGTTTCTCGTCGAGGCAAGAGCTCTCCACCATCTTTGCTCGAGCTCTGGTAACGTTTTGGATCTGGTTCTCACCAATGCTCTAATCTGTGTGTATGGCAGGTGCCGCAGCATCCCAGACGCTCGCGAGACTTTCGAGGGGATCAAAGCTCGCGACGTTGTGTCGTGGAACTCGATACTTGGTGCGTATAGCGAGCTCGGGCAAATGCAAGAGGCTCGAATGATCTTTCGGCTCATGCAGCTCGAGGGTGTGAGGCCCGAGAAGGTTACCTGCGTGACGGTGCTCCATGCCTGCAACGCTTCGCCGGCTCTGGAAGATGGGAAGATCGTTCATCTCTGTTGTCAACAAGGTGGATTCGAGAAGGAGATCATCGTGGCAAACGCTCTCCTCAACATGTACGCAAAGTGTGAAGCTCCTGGGGAAGCTCAGAAGGTTTTCGACGAGCTGGAGGAGAAAGATATCGTTTCTTGGACGACCATCGTCTCGGCTTACTCTCTGCAAGGCCAGCACGAGAAGGCTTACGCACTTTTCAAGAGAATGGATCTGGAAGGGGTCCGAGCTGACAGAGTAAGCATTGTAACGCTGCTCGAGGCCTGCTGCAGCCAAGGAGCTCTAGAAACCGGTAAAGTTTTCCATGATCGAGCTCGCGAATCCGGACTAAACTCCATTCTTATGGTCAGGAACGCGGTGATCAACATGTATGGGAAATGCGGCAGCCTCCAAGATGCTCGGGAGGTGTTCGACAAGATGGATCACAGGGACGTGATATCCTGGAACACGATCATCGGCAGCTACGCTCATTCGGGTCTCTGGAGCCAGTCGGTGGAGCTCTTCTTCCTCATGAAAGACGTGAAACCGGACAACGTGACTCTCATGACGGTCGCCAACGCAGCCGCGACTTTACAGGATATAACCTCCGGGAAGAAAATTCACGAGAGGATCGTGGAACAGGGACTCGAGTTGGATCCAATACTCGGCACAGGACTTGTCAACATGTACGGGAAGTGTGGATACTTGGAAGAAGCTCGGGACTTGTTCGACAGGATTCCAGAGAAGAGGCTGGTCTTGTGGAACTGCTTGCTTTCGGCTTACGTCCAGTATGAGCAACACGAGGAAGCCGTGAAGTTCTTCAAGACGATGGACATGGAACCGGACAAGATCACGTACATCACAGTGCTAAACGCGTGTGCGGGGCTTTTATCGCTACGAGAAGGGAAGTCCGTCCACCAGCGAGTAGTCGAGGCCGGGCTCGAGAAAGACGTGTTCGTGGGAACAGCTCTTCTCGACATGTACGCAAAGTGTGGGACTCTCCAGCAAGCTTTCGACGTCTTTGAGTCGCTGCCGCTGCGAAACAACATCACCTGGAACAGCATGGTGGCAGCGTTCGCGCAGCACGGGCGATCGATCGAGGCCGTGACACTCTTCCGAGAGATGCTCCAGGAAGACATCCCAGTGGACAAAGTAACTTTCGTCAACGCTCTCGCGGCTTGCAGCCACGGAGGCCTCACCGAAGAAGCGGCGCAGTACTTCACGTCGCTCGTGGTGGATTTCGAGCTCCAGCCGAGCGTGGAACACTACGGCTGCATGGTGGATCTTCTGGGACGACTCGGCTGGCTCGAGGAGGCGGAGAAGTTCATAGCAGGGATGCCAGTTCCAGCAAACTCGGTGATCCTGGCAACGTTCCTAGCGGCATGCCGAATGCACGGAGATATCGCGCGAGCTAAACGAGTTGTCGAGAAGGCGGTGGGTTTAAATCCAGGCTCGAGCTCGTCGTCCTACGTTGCCTCCTCTTTCGTAGCACTGTCGAGCATCTACGCCGAGGGTGGAGAATTTGAGGACGCAGCGAGCTCGAGAAAGAGGAACAGGGACAGGAGCTCGAGAGGATGGAGAGAGGTGGGGGATGAAGTGTGCGAGCTTGAATCGGGCGAGAAGATCCACCAGGAGCTCCAGAGGATGGATCGAGGCGGGGGATGAAGCTGTCAAGTTTGAATCGAGAAGGAGGAGCTCGAGAGGATGGATCGAGGTGGGGGGACGAAGCTGGCAATTTTGAATCGAGCGAGAGGATCCACCAGGAGCTCGAGAAGATTGATCGAATCGAGCGAGAAGATCCACCAAGAGCTCGAGTGGATGAATGAAGACGGGCTCAATGAAGTTGCCAACTAGACTATTTTAAATTTTGAATTTTGCATATTCGAAAATGGTACGACGAACCCTAAAGCTAGGGTTCGATTCCTTGGTAGGTTCTTAGCTAGGGCTTGGAGGCGATAGATCGATCGATCGCGCGACTAGGAGCTCGGCTGCGACTAGGAGGCGTTGTCAATCTCTGGTTTGCCGCGAGGTACCGGCTTGGTGGATCTCTTTCTCTGGATTTCTGTCCCAGGCATTGTGATTCTCTACCACTACCATGGGGGATCGCCACGGCGGCTACGATCTCAGGCGGGCGCCGCCACACGAGCGCCTGGACAAGCGCGATGGTCGGATCGGGGGTTTCCGGAATCACAGCGAGTGGGATAGAGGAGAGAGGAGCAACGGCAGGGAAAGGGATCTGGAGAGAGGCGGCGGGGACAGAGACAAGGAGCCGCGGCGAGGGTTGAGTAGTCTCATCGTCAAGGGCGGATCCAGCTCCGCAGAGATTGGCCATGGTTTCCAGGGATCTATGCCTCACCATCACGCCCGGAATGGCTTGCCACACTATGAGCCGCGGGAGGAGAGAGTCCGTTCTTCAGGTTTGCTTCTTCTTCTTCACTGGTAGCTTCATCTTCTTCATGGGTGGAAAGGGAAAAAAAGAAAGAAAGAAAGCATAGCAGTCTTGGAAGGAAGAATGGATGCCTGGTAATTTGCATATAGGTGGTCGCGATTTCTCTAGTCCTTTGCATTGGCCGCCACTCTTTTCTCTCGAGTCTGGGTCACTTTGGCTTGGAGCTTGCATAGCCTGAGAGAAGATCTGGAGAAAAAGAGAAACTAGATTGGGTTTTCACGGCACAACTCTGGTGGCTCAAGCTTCCAAGCGTCGTCTCTCTCGTCGGTCGTCTTGCCTGGGGTGGTGGTGGTGGTGGTGATGGTGGTGGTGGTGGTGGTGGTGGTGGTGGTGGTGGTGTCTGTGCTATAAACACACATATCTTTTGGTTGAGAAGAGTGTCCGGGGCTCAGCAATGTCTACTGCAGGATTCGGTGACGCGGTTTACATCTCCAATCTCCCAGACGATGCCAGGGAGGGGTCCGTGGCAATGTTACTCGGAGAAGGTGCTGGGGTGAAGGTACTAGTCAATGTGGTTTTGGTGTGCTGCTCATGGTTTCAGATTCCTCCTCTCACCGGTGAATGCTCTCGCTATCACAGATCGACCACAGATCCAGGCTCCCCATGATCAAGATATATGAAAACAAGGATACAGGATCCAAGGAAGCAGAGGTGGTGGTAGAGAATATGCATGCGGTGGACGCAGTGATTAAGCACTTCCATGGTATACTCACGAAGCTCTTGTGTGGAGGGAAGTTTAGCTAGATGATAACCAACGTTTTTCTCATGCTCGCCAGGCTACAGCTTTAGAGGGCGGAAGCTTCACGTATCCGCTGGTCTGCACCGGGGCCAGGCGGCCAGCCCGGTTTCTCGTCACAGGCGGTCGGATCACTACGTAGAGCACGATGGTTTCCGCGGTGGCGGCGGTGGCGGCGGTGGTGGTGGAAGAACAAGTCCTCGGGGGTACCGTGACAGTAGAGCTCGAGGTCGTCCGGTCGATCTTCCGCCGTTTGATCGCCCCGGCGGCCATCGCTCGCCGCCTTACAGGAGGGAATTGGACGGGCCTCCTAGGAACAATCCGAATATCGTGCCAAGAGAGGGCGACTGGATTTGCTCGGAGCCAACGTAAGCAAGCTGGTTTTTTCTTTTCCATTGTGTTCTACTTTTTGCTCCCTCGACTCACAGTGGTTTTTTGTTTTCTTTTTCTCTTCCAGGTGTGGGAATCTCAACTTTGCTCGTCGATCTAACTGTAACAGCTGCCAGAGGCCTCGCCACCCTTTTGCGATGGAGCCGCCTCCGCCGCGGGGATTTCACGACGCTCTACCGCCTCCCAGCGTCCTCGGCCCGCCTCCCATGTCCAGAGGTATGATCGACTTGGGACCTCCTCCGCAGGTCTGGGACCGCATGATGCCGCGGGGATTTCACGACAGGATGCCACCCATGGACGCCAGGTTCATGGAGCAGCATCCCCCGGAGAGGGGAGGATTCCGGGAGAGAGATGTTGGCATCCACGATATGAACGGTGGTGGTGGTGGTGGGGGTCATGGTGGTCATCACAGGGATCGAAGGCCGCCTTCTCCGGGGGAGAGTAGAATGGACAGGGAGTTTGATGATCGCTATAGCCGGAGGCCTCACTCTCGTCCCAGGTGGGAGGCCGACTTGAAAGTCCGGGACCGTGGGATTCACAAGCGCCAGTCTTCTCCGAGGGGTGGCAGGAAGGTGTGAGCAGTGAGATCGATATGGCTGTGAAGAGATTGAGAAGAAGAAGAGTCTCTATTGGTAAGGTTTGCAAAAGTTTGGTTGCTTTATTTTCTTAGTTCCTTGTTTTTCTCTTTGCTATAGATTGTTAACATGAGCACTTACAGACTGTATTTGCAATTAATATTTTGTGAAGTCCCTTAGTATTATTTTGCCTTTAAAATCGGATTTGGACACATTGGTAGTATTATTTTTGCCTTAACAAAATCACATTAATTTGGACTAGTTGTCTAACTAGAAACATACCAACCTCAGTGTGATGGCTACAAAACTATTAGAATGTATAAGCAGCTTAGATTTAAGCTACACACTCGCCACCTTCCTTCTCTTCTTCAGAACTTGTTCCTTCCTCTCCTTCAGACGAAGAAGAAGCATCTTCACTTGATTCCGTGGAAGACCCACTGTCTTCTTCTTGTGCTTTAGCTTCTTCCCTTGACGAAGAAGAGCCTGATGAAGCAGCAGAAGAAGCCGATGACGAAGAGCGCGACGATTTACTCCAAGGCTGGATGATGCTACAGACGACTTGCTCCGCAGGATCTATCATCCCCAGTCCCTGCAACCTCGTGCAAAAGCTCCGCAATGCAGCCTGCACCTTATCCACGCCACCCACGTTGTTACCAAGCCTTTGCTGCTCAAAAATGAGCTGAGGAGATTCTTGTGTTGTCAAGTGCTCGGCCAGCTCCGGCGCTCCTCCCTGGATCAGCTGCTGCTTGAAAAACTCACACATCTCATCTTCATCAGGATCGTCATACCAATAGTAGTCCGGCATGTAGAAACCAGCGGCAAGGCTGTGGATCGTCGCAGTCTTGGCACCATCCCAGTCGAGAATGCTGGTGACATGCCCGGAATCTGGATCGAGCAGAACTTGCGGGAGCCCAAACTCGGGATGAACAAGGTAGAACTTGTTGTCATTCTTCCCAAGATCTTGGAACTTGATGTCATTCTTCCCAAGAGCTTGGAACTTGTTGTCACTCTTGCGAAGGTCTTGGAACTTATTGTCATTCTCCACAGGATCTTGGAACTTGTTCACGAGCCAATCCAGCACGAGCTTGGCATTGGCTCTGATGGATTTGCCGTGCTTGGGATCATCCCCGTAGAGCAACACGAAGCCCTCGATCTGGTTCCTTGCGTATTCCGTCCACGACGAGTAAGGCCCGGGGCTGAGCTCGCCAACTTCGATGCCGCGCTCCATTGCCAAGCTCACGGCACCTTGCAGCATTCTCCCCACGCACGGAGAGCCGTCGGATGAGGAGACCTCCATGCTGCCCAGCGAATCCAACGGGTGGCGATAGAGCTGGAGCGTGACCATGGCGAGGTCAGCCAGCACGGCCTTCTTCCACGCCAGCGTGGCGTCTTTGCTCCACACATTGTAGGCGGGGACCCCCTCGGCGACGCCCATGACAGCGAAGTGGGATCCGCCACGTGGCAAGTAGGGCAGAGGTGGCCGTGCCACGTAGACAGGCCCTGCGACCACGGCGGGAAGATCCAGCCTCGCGAGGAAGAGCGTCGCGGCGTAGCCCGAGATTGCGAGCGGCAGTGGCACCCGGAGCTCGCCTGGGAGCCCGATTCGAATGGCGACGCGGCGTGGCTGCTCATCCTCTTGATGATCCAGCAGTAGGGCCTCGATCACGAGGTTGAAAGATCCACAGCCGAGGATTTTCTGGAAGCGGACCTTGCAGCCCAGCGTCCTGGCGATGATCCTTTGCAACCAGCTCGGGAAGCAGCGAAAACGCTGGAACACTGTGCGCCGGAGCTTAGCCACTTCCGCCATAGCTGGACGCCCTAATTCCTGGGAAGTGGACGGCCGAGATTAGTCCAATTCAACGGTGAGGATGTTAAGCGGGATATTTGAATGATGATTAGCTTAGTACTAATTAACTTTAAGGTTAGCGACGAGCGATACCACCACGATCAAAATCACGATGTGAATTCTCGCTCCTTTTATGGAAGCCGAGAAAGCATCTCTCGCGAGCACGCGATCGTCCCTCTTAGCGACACGATCGCCTCTCAAACTTGCCGAAAGTTTCGGCTGCCTCAATTGCTTGCAGATCGAAATGCCGGATTTGGAGCCGCGACCACACCTCGTCGTGGCAGTCGAGCTTACTGGCTTCGACCATGCTAAGTTTCTTGTCGCAAAAGCTCCTAAGAAAAGGCTCAAATATGTACTGACTATGAAACACGTACCTTCTCATCCTACATGGAGAACAAATGGCGCTTCACCGTGCGCAGTGTTTGCTCTTTTTGACCTCCAAGCTCCCGGATGACCGTGTTGAAGAACAGTGCCTGGGAGAGAGAGTGGGTCGGCTATTGATGTTAGCAATGCTGGAACTGTTTGACATCAATCACCAGCATCTACTTGCTTACCAGTTTCGCTGGCTTTGATACCCGAGGCTGTCGCCAGCTACAAATCTTTTCGAGACTGCAGGCCAGCAGCCGGGGATTTCGTCGAGAAAACTTGCTCGATGAGGTTTCCTTGTTCTCTCCGAAAAGTATCGCCCCAAGGCTACAGCTTTTGTGTTGATCAAAGGAAGGCTAGATTGGAGCGAATGCTGCTGAGCTGACCACAGGAGGAAAATTTAGATCGAGGCAGCAAGAGAAAGCAAAGGTTTCTTTCATTGCAAAATGGATACTCACTTGTCTTTCTACAAGGCTGAGCCTGCCACCGAAGTAGGAATGTTTCTCGACATGGATAGCATAGCAGAAAATATGAGCATGGATCCTGCATTGAATCATAACGACGAAGAAAGTAAAGCCAAGGTAGAATCTAGCACTCACTTGAATTCTCAGGAAAAGGCTCAGCATTCCCCCTCCAAGGCTGCCAAGGACGAGGTAGTCGATCACAGGCCCTGGATTCTTGACACAGCATCCAGCATGAGTAGCACTACCACTGACGAAGTGGATTTGATGTCGGATCTAGATTCTTTACTCCTCTCGAGGGCGCAATCTGTTTCACAATCTCTGCCTCTACATCTGGTCCACAGAAGCACGAGCTTGAACTCGTTAGGACAACTCCTTTCAGGAATTGGACATAGCGTACCTTGCACACAAAATGCCCCTCTTGACTCCTCAACGTTGAGAAAACCATCTTTGCTAGGAAGAACACCTTCTTTGCCAAACTTGGCAGGAATTACTGCAGCAACTGATGATGTAAGTTTAAATCATGAGAATGATAAGCTGATCTTACTTTTCCGTGTTGCAGAGTACTGATAACAGCCCGTCGAACAGCCCTTGCAACAGTGGCGGATCGAAGGCTTCCCAAGAGAAAGCAAACAAATATACTCCTGAGGAAAGAAAAGCAAAATTAGAGCGATACAGGCAGAAACGGTCAGAACGAAATTTTCAAAAGAAAATTAAGGTACAAACGAACTCCACAAGAACCACTACTTACTTACGCTTGTACTATTTAGTATGCATGTCGGAAAACGCTAGCAGACAGTCGGCCTCGAGTACGAGGAAGATTTGCCAAGAATGACGACGTCGCACAACACGAGAATCTAAAAGCAGAAAGCCATGAAGTAAGTATCCTCCTTTTAAATACAAAAAAAAAAAAAAAAAAAACGAAAACACTTTCAGGAGATCGGAATAAGGAGAACGACCAGTTGCACATACCTTACCTTTCCGTATTGAAGATATCTCCACTTCCAAACTGCAAGGAGAATAAACGAATTAGAAACACACATACCTGATCAAAGAAATGTGTCCATTTTAAATGAACGACACTGAACGACACTAAACGACACGCTTAGTTTGTCTTCCTCAAACTGCCGGGTACAGTGTAGCAATCCCTCCTAACCCTGGACGAAAAAAACCCAAAGTTGCGATACGAGGGAGTAAGCCTCAAGCGGTCCTGTTCTTATTCACATATGCTAAGAACCCCGTGGGCCGGGGAGCTGACTGCACCCGTAGTGATCGTCGTATGTTGGCTTCTTCTAGAGCTATTCTCTGAGCTACATCCTTGGACCGTTTCTGCATCGAAGTACTGAAATGGAAAGCTCTTAGCCATAAAAAAACTAAACAGCAAACCATATACCTGATTCTAGTGTAAGTGCTCTCTATTTGGTCCCGCAAAGCTTTCTCCCTTGCTCCTTTCGGGTTCAAAGATTCCTGCAATTCATCGAGCTGCTTTGCCCAGGTCAGCGAACTGACAATCCAAGCTTGACTCAAACACTTACTTCCTTCTTTGAACTGTAGAAAGACCAGCTGTTTGCGTCTTCACTTTCGACAAAAATGCGTCCCTCCCTATGAAAAAACCAGTATCTATTGTAGTTGCGGTCCCTCCCTAGCGGGCTCATCCGAATGGTGCATTTCTCGAGTTCACGATCGAGATGCTCCTGAAGTTTGATAGACAAGATAATAAGCGAACAAAATAAAAAACCACACGTACCAGTCTTTTCTGGAGCTCAGACTCAGCCCTTTCTTTTTCCGTTTGTGGCTCCCTTTCATCGTGAAGTTCGACTCTGTTACACCTAAACAACGTCTGCCTCGAGCTATTGAAGAACAAACAACGTGCGCTGTATTCCCTGTCAACACACCCCCGTCAATAAAACACAAAGAGAAAGAAGGAAAATTTTAACCTCTTGACGCCATTTGCATCAGCGTTACCATTCCGTTTCCGTTTTCCTTTTTTCAGCCACCCGATTAAGCATCCATTTTCGTGCAGGCACTCTTTGGGCTTGCACTCTGAAACATCTTCAGTGCAGCCATTTTCCAGACTCTCGGTTGCTTTAGCTTTTTCCATAAACCTTGAGCCCTTTCTCATGGATATCGGGAGGCCTTCGCCACGTCTTTGAGCGGAAAGACTCTCGAACTCTTCAATGTTCTCGTCCAGGTGACTGCGAATCGCGGTGGTGTTGATGGCTCTCTCAATTAGCTCCTCGAATATCTCCAGTTTGGACAAGACAGGTAGCCTAGAGTAGCAGTCTGTCCGAATTGTCGACAGGTAAGGTTTCAACTTTTGAGGCCCTTCGAGCTCCAAATAGTCGCAAACATCATCCTTCCATGTATCTATAGAAAGCTGCATGGCATCGAGTAAGAAAGATCAACGAATGAAAGAAGGTACTTACTATTACTTTCCGTTTTCTACGTTGGGCAAGTCGCTGCTTAACCCCCTGCTCGCCAAGGACAACGCGAAAAACGGCAAAATACGCCTCCGATAAGAGCGAGGATTCGCCATCCGTATAAAGTAGTGCCTTCTCCAAATCGTACAACGAAAACTGCGACAGCTGTAACAATGTGCTAAATGAGTTGCAAAAGTCCCACACCATCAACGTAGCGCCGATACACTCAGCTTCGAGCGGAAAATCTGTGGAAGGCACAGGCCGTTCCGGTAAGGGAGGATCATCCGGGTTTGGCTCAAGGAGATTATCATCCATGAGATCTTCGGAGGGTGACGAATAGCCTGGCCAGAAACAACCATCCATTCAGAGACTGATACAACTTCTAGAGATATGACGGCTTACCATCGTACTTTTTCTTTGATCTACCACTCGATCCGCAATCCCTGTATTTCTTGCTGCGCTTTCGAGCTGTATACTCAACATCGGCATCTTGCAAACTTTCGTCCTGGAAAGGCAGTAAGAAGACAGAAAGAAACATCACGCACTTACAAAGTAAGATTGGTTGACTTGTCTTTGAGTCGGATCGAGTCTAGTGTGCAACTGCTTCTCCTCTTTCGGTGGATCAAAAGGTATTTTGAACTTCCTAGCCAGCTTGTCCCGCACCAACCAAGGCATGTCCAGCGTTACTTCTCCATAAGCTGACTCCTGAATAAACTTCTTCAACGCTTCTTTTGTAAACGGTAGCTTTCTCTTCATCAAGTTGATAGGATCCTCCACAGCCTTCTCGGTAATCTGCCCTTCTCCATCGAGCCAGCCGACTTCGTACTTTAAAGCCTTTGTACCATTCTCTCCATCTTGTTCAGAGACGTCAAGTATCCTGCACTTCCGTCTCGCATCGTCGGCAATGCTTGGGATTTCCTCCCCAGGAACAAATCTATCGCTGAGAGTCGTAAAAACGTGGTCAACGAGCTCATCGGTCTCAAGCTCACCTGGCAGAAATAGGACAATATGTTACAGAACAAAATTCCAAGTCGATCACTTACTAAATTGGACCAGGTGTAGAACTGGTCCCATGAAATCTTTCGGAAACTCGGCCTTTTGAGCTGCTCGACACTCCGAAACCAATGCCTTCTCGTAAGTGAGACCTTCCCGACGAGTAGCTTTGCACGTCCATATCTTTTGCCGATAGAGATTCATGCGTCTCACATACTCGCTGCATTAAAACATCAAGGAGCTCAAACCGAGAACTATGAAAGAAAGAATGCACATACTCATAGTCCCGGAAAATCTCCTTCGTGAACCGGACCTGGAACACCATCTCGTCGGGCGACAAATCCTCTGGCGTCTCAGCCAGCAAGAAAACTTCCTGCCTCAGTAGCGGCATCTTGAAAGCACTGCTCTACTCACTCCCCGGTGCTAGAATCCTTCCTCGAACCGCCATGCATCTGTTCTACCAAGAACTCCCGACCCTCCTGCCCTAGAAAAAAACCTAGAAACGATTTTCCCGCAGCTCAAATGCCAGAAAATCCCCCCGATCGCAGCGCCAGAGCTCGAGAAAATCCCCAGGCCGCGCCCCCGGGGCTCACATTTCCAGCATTCTCACGCACCTGGTGGGAAGAAATCCGTCCACGCAGCAAGAAATGCCCGATCTTTGTCGCCCGGCCACGGATTCACAGGCGCTGCCGCTCGCCGTGACGAGCTCGAGGAGCTGGATCCCGTGCTGCCGATGCCGATGCCGCTGCCGCTGCCACCGCCGCTGCGTCTTCTTCCAGGATTCCATGCCGTCACGGCGCCAGTGACATTCTATCCGGGGCGCTGGAAAATTCCCTGGCGCTGGAAAATCCTCGCGCAGCGCCCTGGCGCCTCCCTATCTATCTCTATTCTGGCGACGAAGAAAGAAAATCAAGGGCTCTCTCATCAACTGCATTCCCGTTTATGTCATTGTGTTAGCTTCTTCTTTAACCCATGGGTATTACGTTTACACGCCGGATATAATCTTTGTACACAAAGGATGGTCTCGCAAACAATGGTGAAGGGCTTCAAGGTTTACACGCCTGGCGGCCCAGAGGTAAGCAAGCGCCATCGTTTCTTCCAGCTAGGGTTTCGCGATACCGCGAATTTCTTGCGAAATTCAGCGAGATCGTGCGCTGTTCTAGCGTAATTTCTCGGTTTTCGTCCGGATTTCTCGTGTTTGGCTGGAATTTCTTGCTTGGTTGACAGTCCAAGCCCTGATTGAGCAAACTGTGATGCTTGAGAAGGATATGTTCATGTTCTATGTGATTCTTCTATTGCATATTGCGTGAAGAAGAACCCTTTCTTTGTTTTTGTCCTCTTACAGGTACTAAAATATGAAGAACTGGACGTGGGAGAGCCCGGCGAGGGCCAAGTTAAGATCCGAATTAAAGCTGTTGGTCTCAACTTCATCGATGTTTACTTTCGAAAGGGGGCCTACGGCGCCAAAATGCCATATGTTCCTGGTAAGCCCAGCTAGAGTATATCAACTCCTCTCATTGCTTTTTCATTCTTTCATTCTTTTCTTCTTTGTTTTCGTATTGATCTTCTTTTCTTCTTTGTTTCGTTCTTCGTTTCAACAGGCTTCGAGTCCGCAGGCGAGGTCATTGCAATCGGTCCAGGCGTGACAGACGCCAAAGTGGGAGACAAAGTTGGATGCATGGGAGCTTTCGGTGCCTACGCTGAAGAACAGATTGTTCCAGCGCGTGCGTTAGTTCCCATTCCTGAAAGTGTGGACTTCATCAAAGCGGGAGCGATACTGCTCAAAGGAATGACCGCACAAATGCTGCTTCGAAAAACCTTCAAGGTTTTCTTATATTTTTATGGTTCTAGTTTCTTAGTTCTTCTGTTTTTTTGTTCTCTCAGGTAGGACCCGAGCACACGATTCTAGTTCACGCCGCTGCCGGTGGTGTTGGCTCGCTGCTCTGCCAGTGGGCTCGGTCGCTGGGTGCTCAAGTCATTGGCTGCGTCTCAAACGAAGAAAAAGCTCGCCAGGCCACTGAGGATGGATGCCACCACGTAATCATTTACTCCAAGGAAGACTTTGGCAAGCGAGTCATGGCCATCACAAACAATAGCGGCGTTCACGTTGTCTACGACTCGGTTGGCAGGGACACGTTCCAGGTACCTCTTTCTTTGCAAAGTTCACGCAAAGTTCTTTGCAAAGTTCTTCGCAAAGTTCTTTCACAAGTTCTTTAGTCAGAGTTTTCAAACTTTCTTCTTTTTTCTTCCAGGGATCTCTCGATTGCTTGGCTACTCGCGGTTACATGATAAGTTATGGACAATCCTCCGGCGCTCCAGATCCTTTCACAATGTCCATACTCGCTCCAAAGTCGCTCTTCCTCACCAGGCCATCGATCCAGTATACCACCAACAGGGACGAGCTACTGGAGATGGCCAATGATCTCTTCCACAACGTCGAGGCCGGAGTTCTCAAAGTCCGCGTAAACCAGACTTATCCTCTCTCGGACGCAGCAAAGGCTCACGATGATATCGAGAATCGAAGAACAACTGGCTCTACTGTCCTTATACCATAGATAGTTTACAGCTCGAGAAAAGCTTGCGATACCTCTTAAGCTTTGAGATAAAGCTCTATGTTTTCGACGCCGCAAAGCATTCGCACCTTGTCTATCGTGGCTGGGGCGTCCAGCTGGAAATAAGGCTCCGGATCGCAGAGGTTCTTACGAGCAGCAGCTATGGCGTGCCTGAGAGCACCGTGCACTGACGATGCCAGGAGCAAAGGTGGCTCTCCAGAAGCTACACAATTCAAGTCAAGGAGCTCGATCAAGACGATCTCTAAGGAACAGCAAAGGAAAGAAAAATGTTCCATCGTTTATAAGCTTTCCTTGATCGTCGTGGCGATGCTCCTCGGATGTAAAGAATCCCACGCCTTGAGCAAACGCACCCTCGATCTGGAAATGAAGAATCTCTCTAAGAGCTTGCAATAGTTTCTGGAAAATATGTTACCTTCCCAATGTCCACGGCCGGATTTATGCTCTTCCCACAGTCGTAGACAATGTCGGTTTGGAGAATTTCGTACTCGCCAGTGAGAACATCGATCTCAACCTTGACAAGTGAAAATCCAAGCCATGGATGAAACCAAAACAAAACAAAAAATAAGAAAATGAAAGAACAAGAGATGGAAAAAACGATCTTACCTCACTAGCAGCAGCACCATAGTTTATGTACGTCAGGGCCTCAGGCGACGAAACGAAGGCAGTTTGCGCGGCCATCTCGACCCGAGCATTCTTTGCCTGCAAAACATTAAAGGATAGAAACGAAAGCAAAAATCAAAACAATCACAAACTTACAGCAAGAACGAGGGATTCCCACGACGACACCGTCTCTCCATCCCGGCACTCAGCCATTCTCTTTTCATGAATCGGCTTAAAGCGATCGACGAGCACCCGGCAAGCCTTCCGCACGGCCTCGCAGCTCGCCTCGGACGTGGTACTACCGCCAGTCCATCCACCGTGCGGCATGCTAATGGTATCCGCCTGGACCACCCGGACTCTCCCGACGTCCACGCAAATCCCACCGCCGAGCCCCTCACCCACCGCCTGCCTCACTTTGGTCCACAGCCCCTGTCCAATCTCCACGCCGCCAGTCTCCACCACCACGGATCCATCCGCCATGATCGACACTCTCCCTGGCTGGTACCGCTGCTGCACAGTGTACGTGCTCTGCGACACCGCCACCCCGCGCTTCTTCCAAGCATTGGCTGCGTTGTATCTCTCCACTTCACGTAGCCGCTCGTCAACTTTTGCTCGATCTTTCAGCCGCGACCAGACCGCCGGGAGAGTGTATCCTTCCTCGCCCCCGACCGCGGCGTAGGCCGCCCCGGCGCTCTCGACCGAGTGGAGGTTGCGCTCCATGACGAGCTCCGAGCTCAAGTTTGTGAGAGCTGCGACGTGCTCGACCACTGCGTCGGCGAAGAAGCAGCCTTGGACGTGCGCATGACCGTCCTGCTCGGGATGTTGGTCCGGCACAGCACGAACTCGAAGGAGAAGGCTCCCCAGTTGAGCTTCTTAAAGGCGGAGAGCACCCCCATTGGCATGACAGGGGTGAATTCTGGCGACCAGCCTCCTTGGATGAAGATCTTGGCGTGGAGGGCGTTGATCTTGCCGTCGGGCTCGAAGCCTACGTCGTAAACGGCCTTCATTGGGTGCCTTCCACCCATCATGATCATGTCTGTGTTGCGGTCGAGAGTGAGGCGGACGGGGCGGCGGAGTTTGTACGCGGCGAGTGCGCAGGCAGAGGCAACCTGCACGATTCATGGTTAGAACCAAGGGCGTAAAAGGGAATGCGAGAAAACGAAGATGAGAAAAAGGAAGTGCTCGCAACAAAAACCATAGTTTTGATGCAAGAAGGTGCAAAACTGTAGACTACTTACCAGGCAGGCTTTGGTGCCTTTGCCTCCAAATCCTCCGCCAACTCGTCGGGTGATGACTCTCACGTTGTGCATGGGCAAGCCGAGGCAGGCTGACACGCTGTGTTGCACAAAGTCGGGGCTCTGGTAGGAACTGTAGACGACGAGACAGTTGTCCTCGTCCGGAACGACCAACGCAGTCTGTGGTTCCATGTAGAAATAGTACTGCGACCCTGTGCGCACCTGGAAGTTCCACTCGTGATCAAAACGTGCTTGCAAAAGAAAAATTGCTCCGTTTTACCTCAGCGTTTTCGATCTTAAGACTGGCCTTGGCCATCTCTTCGGCAACATTACCGTGTTTGTCCTTCATCACATCCTTGAAAAACTGTGGGATCTCGTGGAGTTCCCCTCTGGCAACCGCTTCTTCCATGGTTAGCACGGGAGAGCCGACAGACTCCGTGTCGTAATCAATCACAACTTTGCCGGCGGCGGCCTTGGCGTTTCTCAGCGTGTCCGCAATTTGGACGAGGACAGGTTAAAATCAATGGATTCGTACGTAGCTTACCATAAGTCCGACGGCATGGCCCACGCACTCGACTTTGTCCTCGGCGAAGAGCTTTTCTTGAGAGAGATCGGAGACGAGGCCCATATTCTGTCCGCCAGAAGGAATGTCATCAACTCCAACGAAGGACACCGCGCCAGGCGAAGCCAGTGCATTCTCCAGCCGGATTCCGTTTATCTTTGCCAATGCTTTCGTACTGTAAACATAGACTGCGTGCACGCAGTCCCTCGGAGCTGGAATATCATCCACGTAAATAGCTTCACCTGAAGAGAAGTTTTAAGAACAAAAACTAAAACCAAAACAGAACAGCTTACCTGAAGCTTGAAGCTCTCCCATAACCTTGGACATTGGCTGTCCGACAGCTCCCTGGAGATGTTCTTGCAATGTCTGTCTCCCAGACATGATCTTTCTTGACGACCTCGGGGTGCTTCCATTCTGGGCCTGTGTAATATACGGGAGCTCAGGTACAATGCTGCTGCTTGGAGCGGCTAGAGAGCTTAAGAACTTGAAGAGGAAGCTCGCAACAAGCGAAGACCTGTAGTCGGCCTTCGAGGTCCCCTTCTTTGGCACTATAGAAACCTTCGTGAGCTGGATGGCCTCCAACATAACTCCACTGTCCACCACCTTCCCTTCGAGAAACCTCTCAACTTCAGTAGCACGCTGACAAGTAGGCTCTCCTCCAAAAGCACCGAACGCGAGCCTCGACTCGCAAACTCGTCCGTCACCCGAGAGATTGACGAGAAACGCCGCATTCACGTAAGCCACGGCGTTTCCGAGAGGCCGAGGTGATGCCCTGTATGAGTCAAACCTGACGTCCTGCTTGCTGTAGGATGGGATGCAGATCGACTTTAGAATGCTTTTCCCGTCCCATGTAGCTGCCACAAAGTCCTCCACAGACTGCCGTGATTCTCCAAACTTCTGTGTCACCACCTTGACCGAAGCGCCAGCTCCAACCAGCAAAGTCGCAATGTCGGAGTCGAAGCCGAGCTTCTGTGCCAGGATCAGATTTCCTCCCACGCTCCCCGCGTTTCTTACGTGCAAAGTTGCCACTTTTCTCATGTGCTCGGCCAACTTGAGATAAACTCCGCTCGAATCACTGCGGCCAAATGCTTCGAGGAGAGCTATAAGCTTGGATATCTTCACGGCAGCACTGACTTCAATCCCATCCTCGGTAGCTTTCTCCTCCAGGACCTCTGGAACGGCACCGATCTCTATGAAAATTTCCGGACTGGACTGGAGATCGTCCTTGTAAATCCCTGTGCTGGTGTTTCCAGCTACAAGCCTGGCCGTGTCTTGATACCTCTCGAGCATCGTGAAAACTTCCTCCAAACCACCCGGTCGAATCCATTTCTTCGTAGAACCCAGAGCAACGAGAGAGTGATCCTGACGATCCAGAAAGTCGGGGAACTGAGAACCTTCCAGTCCTGGATTGTAGCCCAGCGAACAGAGAGCTGGCCTATTTCTTCTTTCCTGTCCGTGCGTCCGATGGATCACGTCATAAGAGCTTGTGTTAAATCAAACCATGTTGTCGTCCTGGAATGGTGGTTTTTTAAAATGCATCTCCCACCCACTTATAGGATCATCAGAGGAAAGGCAAGCAAGCACAACCCCAGCAATGATGCCTCAGGGCATCTGCAGCTTATTGATACCTTGTGTTCCACCACTTTTTCTATGCTAAATGAATCTGCTTTACAAATGCATGGAAAACTGTTTCATGTTGTTTACGACCTTCCACATTTTACACACTCAATTCCCCCAGATCCCTTGGAATCTGTGTTTTTGGAAAGTTTAAATTCATGAGGTTATATTTAATATCAAAGTGGTTTTGAGTCCAACTCTATTGGTTGGTTAAGAGAATTACACTATATATTAAAATTAACGTTTAGCAAGTCCAAATTCTTATTTAGCTATTATGGCCTACCCATTATTATCTCATTATAAAAGGTATTTAGACTTGCCAATTAAGTAAATCAATTACTAAAGAGTGCCTTTAAACATGATATTGTTGTTCTTTTGTTCAAATTCACAATTTAATACCATTCTATATTTAATAAAATTTTGAATAACTATATCTCTAGAAATATAAAATACTAGGGTGAAAGCCTGAAGCAAGCTTTTAGATAAGGGGGTGGTGGGCACTATAGAGGGTTCTAAATGTTTAGTACAGACAATTTTTCGTAATAAGTTTAGTGCTAAGGGGGATAGAAATATTAACTTGTTAAAAGCTATATAGTAGTTATTCTTCTTTTAGGTCTGAGTAATACTATATCAGTATTTTTTTTAATCTTAGTGTTCTAAATTTAAGATTTCAAGTACAAAAACATAATTAAAGTAACACTTTGTTTGATACTATAAATTGGTAAGCTAATTAAGATTTAGTTTAGATAATTTTATTACTTCTTTCATTTTTCTTTATTGGATTAATAAAATAATGAATACAAGTGATTTTATAAAATTTATTAATATATCTGTTGTGAAACTTCTATAATTCTTTCATAATTTTTAATAAAATAATAATACATAAAAATGAAACTATATGGAACTATATATATAAAATTTATAATAAAATAAAATATATGCATATATATATATATGCATATACCTTATTTTATTATAAATTTTAAAAGAATTGAAGAAGTTTCAATTGCTAAATCAAGAAATTCCATAAAATACACTTGAATATTCTTGGAATATTTATTACTTTAGTGGTTCTGTTAAACCAATAAAGAAAAATGAAAAAGTAATAAAAATGATATCTAAAGTAGAACTATATTGTATTATTTAATAGCTTGCCAAATTACTTGTTTTGTATCAAAGTTAAAAATGATAACATTTCCATCCCCTCTCACCACTAAACTTGCTGTGATAATACAATTTGGTTGTGGATTGCAATATTTATTAGATGACCATAAAACATAATTTTGATAGTCTTTAATCACAAAATTCCCATCTTGTTGTAAATGAGCCAAGCATCCATCAATGGGCCTATAAGGGTGCTCACTTAAATATAAAATTGTTCCACTGCTCCTCTCAATTAGCACTAACTTACAATCACTATGTAGCATTAGCTTATAAAGCCCATTCCCTGATTTTAAGCTATTTCCTGCTAGAATAAATGATCCTGGAACTTCATTTTGATTCCCTACAAGTGATGATTCAAAGCTCCAACAATCACTTCCATCAAAATCCATAAGAACAAAAACATTAGCTGTGTTTCTTAGTGCTTTAGTGGCCATACTAAAGTTACTATTTGAAATATTTTGTGTTTGATGAACACCAAAGTCTACTCGATAGTGTATGGCAAAATTTGAAAATTCTGTGCGTATTTCAGCACAAAACCTTCGCCTTCCTTCAATATAAGTTGAGGCATCTAAAAATATTTGATTTCTAATAGCTCTGAATGTGGCTCGCACCAAATGGGAGGGAAAATTGATTGCTACAAAGGGATCTGCAACACAAAACATAGCCACCACAACAGGGGCATTGATATAAAAAGTGATCCTTAAAGTCATTTCACCAATATGAAACTCCACTGATGTGCTTCCTACTGGAAAGAGGTTATAAGGATTATCTCTAGTAGTATCAGCATAGTGAGTTGTAATGAAATTGGACATGAGTCGAATGACATCTTGGAATTGCTGTGGTGACAATGCATTAGAAGCCAGCTGAAAAATTGTTCTGGGATTGGAATATTGGGGTGGTGGTGGAGTCAAAAAATAAGCCAACTTTGGCAAAAGATAAACAATTAAAACAATAAAAAATCTAGTCATAATCTAGAAATTATAATTATGATTTTCTATTCTTTATCTCTATTTCTGATTTTTAGTAAAATAAACTACCTAAAATAATAAAATAATAATTATAGATAAAATTTTATAATATAAAAAATAAAAAATATTAAGGCTATAAACATTCAAATTTTATCAATACTCTGGAATCAATACTAGCTATTGATCACATCACAAGATTTAATCCAAACCATAAAAATATAATATTTTGAACACTCCCACTTATAAGAGACTTGAAAATCAAAATATTCATGTAGTGAGTGACAAATTGAGCAAGTTAAAAATTCAAAAGACTAGTTTAGAAACCACCAAAAATGTGCCGCCCAAGGTCTGAAAAACAAAACTATAGTATGAGGTTTGGAGGTATGTAATAAAGTGGTCAATGCCAAGAGCTCATTGTTAAGAGAAGAGGAGACAACAAACTATTAAAATATTAAACAATGGAGAAGAAAAGATAAATCTGTATTAAACACTCTAAGTACAAATTTCTTAAAACCCTATTTTTATAGGGGCTTTAGAAATTAATCTCAACTAATCCACAAACTTAATCTAAATATAAGTTCATACTGCCCATCCATGTGTACAGCAAGTTTTGAGTTCAAATTCTATATGAGTAGAGGTTTAGGGTTCACAGGTTTTGAGTTCAAATCCCATCTGAGTAGAGGTTTAGGGTTCAGTTCTTGTAATGATTAGTAGTAATTAATATACTCCTTAGAGATGGCAAATATATAATATCATCCCCCCCTCCCTTTGATGGTACCTTCACAAAAAGTATGTTTTTTTAATAATTATATAAAGTACAATAAGTATATATTATCGATAGAAAATAAACATCAATAGTTTTGGCAAATCTAGTTAGCTCCAAAAGTTGTTTGCAATTCAACAATAATAAAGTATGTTTAATGTATATAAATATCCACTTTAAAATCTTGGTGTAAAGTGTTAATAAAGATGTACATATACTTATAAGGAGCATACACCTTTCCATATTCTTTGTGTTTACTAAAGTCAAGAAGGAAAGCCTTGAGTAATAATTATGAACTTTCCATCATCTATTTTGACTATATACTTCTTTACAAATGTAATGATGTATTTTGTGAAGAGAATCTCACACTCAAGCATTTGGGTTATACTTATTTTACTTTACTTTTGCTTGAAGATGGTACTAATAAATTTAATTACCTTATCTTTTCTTATAGGCATTTTATACATCTCTGTAGAAACAATGCCAATTTTGTCATTTATGTCTTCAACTCTCCTCTTAAGATTGGAACAAAATTTCTTAAGGTTTTCAATCTCATCTGAAGCGAGTGCGACGTCATTAGCAACTAGCCATTCTTTAGGTACTGCATCAGGTTTAATCACTATAGTGTCTTCATGGCAATAGTATTGCAATAATATAGCTAGCACCATCTCGAAAGTCTTGTTTGCTTTTGTTCCTTATAAAAATATGGGGCTGAAATAGAAGCAAACTTGTCACCATGGATCCAGACCCAATAGTTACCCCTTAGAAGCATCCTAACATACTTTATATTAGATTTTATTAGCACTTGATAGATTGCCCATTACCTTGAATTTATGCTATGATAAATGATTTCAATCTGTTGTGATGCATTTTCTTTATCATACATTGGAGGTGGTTTAGTCTAGGGGTAGTGTCTTGAAGCAAAATGATACTTAACATTAGGCATATGAGAACTTTTTACTTTAAAGTCTATGCCAACATCTTTATAAACAAAGGAAAAATGATGTTTTGAGTGGGCAATTTTCATGTCACTAATAGAAGCTTAGGAAGTGTATTCCATAAGATGTGTTGTAGACCACTTCTTCGACTATAGTTACCACCATTTGGGTAGATGGAGTCAATTTTCTCTTCATTCTATCATGTAATATCTCAATAAAAACCCCTATTCCCATGTATCTTTCTTCCTCAAATACCAATACTTTTGAAGACTACTTTATAGTGCATATTAAATATGATAGACATGCTTCGTAAAGATTTATCTTCCCTTTCTCTACAAAGGAATGCTAGTTCCAGTGCTTACTCTTAGAGAGATTCACAGTTGGGGTGTATGTGAGGTTCTCAAGTGATTGGTCCTTATAAAAAACATGATACTAAGAGGCAATAAAACGAGAAAAAAAAGGAGAAACCAATATAAAAAAAGTGATATCCCCACTAAAACATCATAACTTCCCACCACCCTAACCATAACTCAAATTGAGATAGGCAACTTGTGTCTATATAGCCATTTTTATGCCACTACATTTAGATTTCATTTGCCTTTGTTTCGTGCTCTTCTTCAGAGGATGCAACTTACCACTATTTGCACAACTCTTTAAACACTAATTAAAATTTTGGTTTGATAAGGTGGTAGTACTAGTTTAGGCTTTAAGCCCAATAGAGCTCACAAGTCCTCTCATGACCTTCCAAAGGTTGACTATTCCCAAAAATTACTTGGGCACCATTCCAGTTTATAGTAGCCCCATTTGTTATGAAACCATAAAAGGTTGCAAGCTTATTAGTCCGTTTTAGCATAATATCAAATAAGGACTTCCAAAATATTTCCTAAGATGTATGGTCTTGTATTTTAAACTCTATTGTCACAATTGTCAAGTTACAATATAACTTGTGAAAACATAAATATTAAAACCATTTCAATATAATGTAAATAAAACAAAATGTAAGAGAGATATTATTGAAAAGTATGTAATAATATTTTCATACCTCCTGAGGCTAGTTGCACGTTGCACGTTGCACATTTCGTAGTAACTCCCGCAAGCTAGCCTCATCCAATTGAGTATTCTTGTAGTCCGGATCAAGTAAAGTATTTGCGATAAAATCCTTGAGCACTGTCTTTTGAACATGCTTTGGAGTTGCAGATGAGTTTCTCACAGTCTCTATCTGCACTGCATCTTTGAAATGGTTGACTGAACTCCTTTGTATCCCTTCCTGCATTAAATGTGTGTGCGTGCCAATATGTATTGCAGCTCTACCAACCTCTCCATCCCATGGAAGAAAATAGTACATCTTGGCCCTGCAGATGGCACGACACAATGGATCATTCTTGCAAAACCGACACTTGAATCCAACACCAATGGTGTCATAGATAGAAGGATTGGTTGCAGATCCTTAAAAAAATGTGGAGTTTTTACCACGCTCTCGATTGCATGCTTTATTCACACAATCTAAATACCCACCACAATGAACCATGGATACTGTACCTTCGAAATGCTGGAAATGTGTGGTCTTGATTTTGCACCAGTTGTGGACATCCTACTTCGTCTCCATCCCCTTTCATTTTGAGCTAACAAGAGGTGCTAGTTGAAAGAAGATATTGCCATTGTATGTAGATGGGAGCTTACTAATAGGCCTATGTAGAAAGGAACGAACATCGATAGAGAGGTGGGAAAACTGGAAAGTGTTGCAAACAGCGTGGAATATCAGTGAAGTTGGAGTTTGGAAATTCTTGGCTCGCACTGGACTAACATCTCCACTAGAACTAGAAGAGGAAGAAATGATGACGACTGACTCTTGCTTCACATTCACTTTAGCAGGATCACAGCCTCGCACTTTGATTGGAGATCCAAAAACTCGAATCTCTTTCGACTTGGAATGTTGCAAATCCCAATGTTGTCCACCTTCACCTACACCCGAAAGAAGAAACTCCGATTGTTCAACTACACCAATGTTGTTGTGAATCACAGCTTCCAATGAAATAGAACCGAGAGAAAGATCGAAACATCGGCAAAGAAAACTTTTTAAAATAAGACTTTGGGAGAAAGAAAGCGGTGGGTGATCTTGGTAATGCAAAAGGAAGCCCTCCATTTTGTTGCCTTTAGGTTTTGGAACTCTGAACTTTTATAATGAAATGTCACCTCACATGTGCTATGCCATTATGTGAAAAGATAGGGCGATTTTATTCTAGGATCTAACATTGAATAATGTTGTTATAATAAATTCTGTATGAAGTATATAGGACTATGTTGAACAATATTAAAAGTCTATATACATTGAATTCAAAAACATACTCAAATTTATTATATGCACTAACTTTTGGTAGAATGGAAAGAAATATCACCTCAAGCATGTGCCATAATATGAAAGATAGGAATGATTTTATTCTAGGATCTACCATCAACCAATTGTTGCCAAATAAATTAAATATTGTACATATTTTCAGTACTTCATTAAGGCTAGAAATCATCACATTCTTCTGAACTCATTTAAATATATTCCATCTTTGTACTACCATCTATCACCTATAGTAAATTATCTATATACATTGCTTTGGAAATAACACCTTACGATTTAATAATCTTATATTTTCTAACAATTTCGTATTGTGATCAATTCAACACATGCATCTGTGACATTATTTCACATTATGACATAATCATATTAGAGCACACCTCCATTATTAAATTACAATTCAAAAGGACTTTGTCATGTGATCAAATCTAGGGCGGAATAGAAATTGTACTGTGCTAGATTTATTATTTATTGTACAGTGAAGATTTACTGCATCCACGATGAACGGCTGTGATGAAAGTTAGGTTAGGGTTAGGGCAGTTGCCGATGTTAAAGTAGAGCAGGAGATTGGGAGTGACTGCGGGAATAGAATGCCGCCAAGAGTAAGTTTTTTCTCCTCCTCCACTCCCTCTCCTCCCCGCCCAGCGCCGCCGTGCCCAGCGCCCCCACGCCCACGCCACGCCTAGTGCCGCCACGCCCAGCACTACCGCGCCCACACCACGCCACGCTCAGCACCTCTACTGCCCAGGGCTGCCGAGCACCGCCCATTGCCATGCCACACCCAGCACAGCACTGCCTAGGTCCGCCACTGCCCAGCACCGCCGCTGCCATGCCACCGCTGCCGTGCCGCCGCTGCTAACATCGCCCACGCCACACCATGCCACACCAGTGCCGTGCCGCCTAGGGCCACTGCTGCCCAGCACCGCCGCTGCCAAGTGCCCAAGCCGGGCATTTGGCTGGGCACTCCGCCTGGGCCGGCCATGGCAGGCCGGTACGCCGGCAAACCAGTGCCAGAGCAAACTGCCCGCGCCAAGTCTGTGCAGGCCGGCCAAGGCGCTTGGCTGGCAAAGGCGCCAAGTGCTTGTGCCAAATGCCCACGCTGGGCATTTGGCACGAGCCAGCCAAGTCCAAGTGCCAAGGCCAACTGCCCGCACACCGGCCTTGGCACTTGGAGGCGGACCGGCGCCCGCACCAAGCGCCAAGGCCAACCGCCTGCGAGCTTGCCTTGGCACTTGGAGGTGGGCCGGTTCGCCAGCGAACCGGCCCGCCTCCAAGCGCCAAGGCAAGGTTCTCGAGCGGTTGGCCTTGGTGCGGGCCGGCCAAGGTGCTTGGGGGCGGCCCGGTTCGCTGGCGAACCGATGCCTGCACCAAGCCCACACCCTGTTCCCCTCTTCTTATGCATTTATAATTTATAATGAGTTTTTTTATTTTCAGAAACGGAAGCAACTACAAAAGGAGAGGGATGTTGGATCAAAGAGAAAACATGAGGAAGATGAGATCCAGGACGACAATCAAGTTGACATTCAAATAGAGATTTCCACAGCGACAACTCTACCGTCTTCCCAACCAGATAACTCCAGTCCACATGCACCCCCACCACCGCCATCGATGCCACCACCACCATTACCACCGCCACCACCTCCACTACCATTACCACCACCGCCACCTTACCTTCATCACTACCATTACCACCACTGTCATCACCACCATTACCACCACTGTCATCACCACCATTACCACCACCACCGCCACCATCATCACCACCACCAGTGCAACTATTGTCATCACTACCATTGTTGCCACAACCACAAATGCCACTACTCTTAACATATTCACAAAATATGGCAGAAACGGAGCAGTGCCCAAGTGCGCTTGATGGTGGTGTTGGGCTCGAGTTGGGGGCTAGATCTAATAATAGTGCTACTGGAGGTGTAGCTGAAGCTGAAAGAGAGCTACCTAAACACATTGTCGACAAGCGCTTCCAAGAGACAGTTTTGAGAAATAAAGAGAAGGCCATTCACACAACTCTGGAGTCTCTCAAGTGGGAAGGCCCGGGGCACATAATCCGAGAAATCCCATTATGTCGATTCACTCAGACAAGCATCGTTCGGTCTGCTTCACCGCACTTTGTCAACATGGACATCTATAGTCTGTACAAACAGAATGGCCTTGGGACAAACATAGGTATGTTCCTTTTTTTGGTCTTCAAGTCAGGAATGACAAATACCCTCTCGGTGTCACTGGAAATCGAGAGGGATTGGGATGACATTTGGAAAATGAAGTCCCGCAAATTTGACATCAAGCTTATGAGCCATCCTGAGACTCAACAATTTGTGGGGAAAATGTTCTACATTATCGACGGGAATCATCGCTGGTGCGCGTGGATGAAGTGCATCCGAGAATGCTTCCGAGACGATCCTGTCTATCACATCAATGTTCCGGTTGGACATGTACACATGAGAGGATCTCTAGATGTGGCAAGGCTTGTGATAGCTTGCCACAAAATTAATGCATAAGTACTTCTCCCTCTTCAATCACTTTTAACAATTTGTGTTTTGCAGGCTAGGACAGTTTGTAGTGCAGAAACAAAGCCTAGTACATGATATCGAGCAAATCCGGTTTCTTGCCAATCTCGACGAGGATGCAGTCCGCAGCCACTATGGTGATGATTTAGCATCACTTATTTGGCATCAACAAGGTCGTTAGGATGCCAATAGATGGTACAAGAATCTAGTGGCTTTTATGACAGTTGTGTGGAGTAAGGTATATTCTTTCAAGTATATTTCTTATCATAGAATGTTTGTGTTGTCTTCAGCCATTGGTGAAGGTTAAGCAAGATGCATATGCACAGTTGCATCGAGCTGAAAATGATCAAGAACTCTCAGAGCATTTAGCTGCAATTGACATGAAAATCAACAACACAAAGAAGACAAAGGTAAAGAAATTACTTAGTGTGGCTGACCCTCGACGCCCAAAGGAGTGGTTCGATATTATAACAGAGATTGCTTGTCATGAAAGTAAGTATTGTTTATGTTTACATGAAGGTTCTCACAAAAGTTATTTTTTAGTGGGCAAGACTCCAGATGAGATTATTTACAACATCTCAAAGTCAAAGTTTACATATGAGGAATAGATACACATTCTGAACGACCTCAATAGTAGACTTAGAGAAGGAGAAAAAGGTTTGGACAGTATGATGGAGACTGTGATGAGGAGGACCGTCTACATTTCACAAATTGTATATGAAGGGGAGATGTTTCTAGCACCTTTCATAGGGGATGATCCTAAGCAACTTCCATTTAAGGACTTCGTCACCATTGAGCTTACAAAACTCGGAGAGGACTGGCTGCCAAAGAAGGCCACAAGCACGACTCCATTTGATAAACAACTTGGCCAACCTTACTTCATGCGTCGAGCGGCTTTCAGTTAACATACAATTTCTCAACTATACTCAATTGTTTATATTCTATTATAGGTATCTCCAATATAGAGGCGTTCCTCTTGAAACACCGGTATGCACACGCCTCCTGAGGCATGGTATGAGAGATGGAGGCATGTACCCGACAACAATGAAGTTTCCAGCAGCAATAAAGCGTGTTTGTCCTTGGGAATTGGAGATGCCAGATTATGAACCAACCCACCATGAGGCTGCAAGAGGCAACAATGATGACGAAGATGATGGCCATGAGAATGTCGACCCTGTTGGTGCCAATGGCGAGCAGAGTGAAGATGGCGGTGAGAACGAGATTCTTCGAGACGAAGTCGAGCAAGAGAACCAGAACGTCCAAGAAGTTCTACCTTGACGAAAGCGTGTAAATCCACGTCTGGAGGAATTAGTTAACAGTGACGATGATCGTCCAAGACGTCCCCGTAATCGGGGAACTTCTCGAGGTATATTTCTTTTAATTCTCTCCTTTTCTTAGTTCCTCAAAATGGTTGCAGCAAAAACTGTCAGGAGTAACTTCATTCCAGCTCGTCTTGATGCTCGAGAAGAGGACTTGGAGGAACTTACATCTACCACACGCCACATGACAGTATGTAAATTTTTCTTAAGTTCACATCTTATCTTTGTCTTCTCCCCCTGAGATTTGCCCTGTATCTCCAATGGCATTCCGTGGTGAAGTTGGGATCTTTATTGGCTCCTATAG